TCCCTTTAAAAACCCGTCGCAAAGTTTTGGTAAAATTGCAGTCAAATTTTGGCTGGATGCGGCAATAGTAAAAGGCTGTAAATGTCATGTAAATTGTGGGAGAAATTTAATAATATTGTTACTAACTTCAGTTGGTTCATTTGAAATTGCACTGTTAAATTTTGGCTGGATTGTGGCATTAGTAAAAGGCTCTAAATGTCAAAAATTGTGTAAGAAATTCATTAAAGTTTTCGTCAACTGAAGTTGGTTCATTTGAAATTGCATTTGTATTCAAATTTAATTCTTATAAACAACCAAATTACCAAATTTTTTGATAGCTACATACACGCACAATTAAAGGCCAAATTACAAAAAAATCAACAGGGGAATTACGCGAATCCGCGCCGCCATAACAATCGCATTTTCCCATGGAAAATAGCGAAAAAAAAAACACTCTATACTGCAATTAAATTTCCGAGCGTTGACAATAAAATATTTCTTGCTTTTTTTGCTTTTTTTTTTGAAATTTTACGCCCCGTTACATCAGCAACGCTGACCGGAAGAAATTCAATCTGGATTGAATGAACTCCGACGATCGTTTGCGACATTCTTCGCACGACATCGAATCGATTTTTTTCGCCTCTCGATAAAAAAAAAATAATCGATTTTTCCTCCGGCGTCGGGGGAACCACCGAAATCCCCAGGGGAATCTAGTTAACTGGTTTGTTTTTCTGGGGAAATACTAAATAATATATTTAAACAACTCGTTGTATACGATTAAATAGAATGGTTTTGCGCATTATACAGGGTGTCCCAATTTTCGTAGATATATTTTTGTATGTAACAAAACTTATAATAAAATAAAGCCGCATTTTTTATGATTAGGCGTTTAAAAATTATAAGGTCATTATTAAAGGGGCTACTTTTCATTGGGACATCCTGTATTGGGTTTGAAAAAAAATGGCGCTGATTATTTTATTTCTTCTCGACTTGTAATCGAATACGCATAAGCCTCCATTGCTAAATTGGATTATCGGAGAAACTAATCCCGAACTTAATTCACGAGAGCTAATTTTATTATAAAATAAATTAGCACCAGCACAAACACGTTTCGATTTAATAAACCTTTCGATAACCCTTAATAAGACTTGTCAAACTTTGACTGAATTCGGCAATAGTAAGAGGCTTTAAATGTCAAAAATTGTGTAAGAAATTCATTAAAACTTCCACCAACTTCCAGTTGGTTAATTTGAAATTGCACTGTCAAATTTTGGCTGGATTCGGCAATAGTAAAAGGCTATACATGTCAAAAATTGTGCGGGAATCACAAACTGTCAATTAATGTCAAATAAATTGTACAAAAAATTCTTTACATGACCTCTACAACGTATATACAGGGCGAATGATAATTACCTATTAAGGTATTTAATCTGGATTAATTTGTTAGATAAGAATCGCCTTTGATCTTGATTGTACCGGGTTGATTACTCCAATATTTACAATTCAAAAAAGATTTTGGCATTGTTTTCGGTCGGATGCATAAATAAAAGTCGGGTTTTATTTATAAAACTCACAGACACTCTCCATAAAACTGGCTAGCGGTCTACTAGAATTAAATTTGTATTTTTAAAATTACACTCTGAAAGTATTAAAGCGCTCATCTTGGGATAGAACCGGCCGATTATTTAATTGGATATCGTCATGTTTCTTTTAATAATCGCAATTTGTTTTATTCCAAATCGATCAAGTAGGTTGCGAAAATGAATGCATTGTTGTCAAACGTTGCGTTTTGTATAAGAAAACTAGAAGAAAAACAAGTTGGTAGGTAATTGAATAAATTGGAAGTTATAGAGAAGAAGAACTGTAGCCCTTATAAGGATAAGGGCTAATTAGGGATAATTAGAGGGAAAAAGGGGGTGCACTTTCAAGGTTGCCGCGGAAAATTGCGATGAATTTTCCGACGAACAATACGGACCTGATTGCATTTTCGCGGTATTTTCTCTTGCGGTTGTAATTCGTAATGAAAAATTAATATCTCTCAGCTTGACTGCTCGTTTCTGCGCCATTTCCTCCCCTAATCGCCGCATTGGGGATGAAACTGCCACGCGACGGGGTGGCTACATCTCTATATAGGCGATGTAATAATAATAATAAGAAGAAGAATAATAATAATATGCAAATTGTGATGGGAAGGAAAATCGTCCTATTCGACCTCTGATTGGGACGAGCAGTGTATACAGGGTGTTTTTTAATGATATGCTAATATTAAAGGGGGTGTTTTGTTCCTAAAAACTTCCTAAATTTATACAGGGTGTGTCATGAGTTGATACTTGTTTTAGTTCTTTTAAATTCTAGGCAACTTTTTCGAGTAATTTTTTTTAATATGCTGGTAAATAAAAAAGAAGGAAATTTTTAATATTTCTTTAAATTTCGAATATTTTCCAATACGTACCTGCCATTACTATACAGGTGTCATAAAATAATAAACAATTAATGACAAAAAATTAATTTTTCGATTGTTTAATTAAAAATTGCCAAAAATGGTTTTTAGCATTTAATTTTTTTTATGCGAAACGGTGAGTCGTACGAAAAAAAGTCAAGAAATCAAATTCGTTCTAAATTGAATGAAGATTCCGAAAATAATTTTAATTTCAAAAGAAAACAGTGGCGTACCACTTTTACCCTCGAAAATATTCGTCCCGAGTCCGGTACGGACGCCACTGTTGGAAATAAAAAAATGTTTTACAGCTCAAAAAACGCTCTTTAATGCATTAACACCGTACACCAAATTTCATAAAAATATTCAAAGCGACATAGAAATAACAGCAAAAAATTGATTTTTTTACTAAAAACTTTAACCCCCCGTATCTCAAAAGTTAAGACATTTACAACATACATTCATATGAACTTTTTTTCTTAAAACAACCCCAAGAATCACCCCCTTCAATATATTAGCACATATATTAAAAACACCCTATATGTTTATACGAGGGGTCGTCGAGATGTAGCCGTTTTATTAATTTTTTTCGTGATGTAAGAAACGAGACATTTCTGGTTCAATAAAACTCGAATCGATAACCGGCCGGTAAAATTCCGGGAAAATTTATCGCGGAAAATACGCCGGGTTTCGCGTGTCCCGAAGACATTCAGACGTTTCCCGGTAACCGATAAAAATAATATACTGTATATATAAACTCTTTGCCTTTTTATTACGATCGAGAGGACCCGGAATATCCATCCAATTTCCTCCGAATTTCCACCAGCAAAGGATAAGAAAACCGAGAGAGAAACCATTTTCCAAATTTCCACTCTACGCCTGTTTGTTTATCTACAGGGTGGTGATTAATCGAGCGCCGATACTTCGCTAGGTGAATATTTGGAGGATTTTCAGATGAAAAGTTTATATCAATATATCTCCTAAATGTCTTGGTTTTGGAGTTACAGGGTGTTACAATTTTAGAAAAAAAAATAGACATTTACCGGCACTGAATTAATTAACACCCTGTATACACCGGTTATTCAATAACCCTTCATTAGCGCTGTATATCGAATGACGAGAAAATTATCCTCTCTCTCCTCGCTGGTTTTTTTTTCTTGCCTTCGAAAGCTCGAAAGCTCGAAAGCTTTTTCACGAAGCTGCGATTTGTAAAGCTTCGTAAATACCGAACCGACTATATAGTAAAATAATTGGGACTCGCATTATAGCGAGTTCAATACCGAACAAATTGGAAGGGTCAAGGTACCAATTTATCTTCGAATATACAGGACGATTCGATATTTAAATGTATATAATTTTAATTTACAGTTGTATTTACCGACTGCATGTATTTATTATTGATTGTGCCATCCTGTATATTTTTTTTATCGATGAATATCGCGAGTTTTTCCTCACCCGCTGGGCTATTGAAGGTATAATACATTTTTGCGACGAATTAGAAGAGTTTTTTTGTTATTTTTCCTGTGCCCAATTAGCTGGGAAAACATTATTAAGGTTGTAATGTTATTAAGCTTTTATCGTGTAAACTAATTAGTTGCTAATATAATTGTATTCTCAGCGGGTGAAGCTCCAGGTAGATGGATTTTTAATTTTTTTCCTATGAAAAATCCGTCTGCAAATGAAGCGAATAGGTCCAAAAAAAAAACGAGGATGAAATTCCAAATTCCGAAATTCGCGTTCGACAGGGCCGGACCCGCCCGTGCGGTAATTTCGATTCGATCGAAAGAAATATTACAGTCGAGTTTAGTGAGGGTTTCTGAGGAGGTTTTTTTCGCTGGATCCGGCACTGGAACGGGAGTAATTTGAAAAATCCGCTAACGATCTTCCGAGAAGAACCGTCGAGACGGTTTCGGGGCTAGATTACAATCGAAATTTCCGATCAAGCGATCCCATTTCGATAGCAAATAATGTAAAATAATAGTCTATTAAAAACTGCTATTATAGGTTAGTGTGACTAGCGGGAAATATACAGTAAATGCTTCGTTTTCGAGTTAAAGTTTCTTCTAAAAAACCGAAGATTTATAATTTATTTCTCTGAAACTAAGCAAGATATTCAAACGAAATTTGGTGGGTTTTGAGAGGTAACTAATACGCATTTTTTGATATAAAATAAAAATTTTTATGTTCATCATTGACGCGCGTACGGGTAATAACACATTTTTTCAAAGAAAAAAATTATATCACTACGCCACTGATGCATTTTTATCGAAAATTCGATTATGAAAAAATTCCTCGTTTAATTTGCAACAAAAAAACCCTCTTGTGTTTTTTTCGTACAAGTCTCAATTTTCGAGTAAAAAAATAAAACCTCTCGACAAGCACTTTTCATTTCCTCAATACATCTAGCAGTGAAGAAACTTTAACCCCCTGTATCTCGAAAACGAAGCATTTCTAAAGATAACTTTATATAGCAAAATATCATTATTATTTCACGCAGAATCACCCCCTGTAGTTTACCGCACTCATTAATCACCACTTTGTATAAAAATCGGTTATAAAATGGAATAAAATAGAATAATCTCACCTGAGGCTAGCCACAGCAGGGCAGTCCAAGCCGTAACGAAAAAGGCCATGGCCTATTTCCTAGGCCCGCGAAAAAACTCGGCTAGCCCGAGGGAGAACCCCCGGTTGCGTGGCCCATTTCCTCGGGCCCCATCGACGCCACAAAACTTACACCAAAAAAAAAAAAACCCCAAAAAAAAAAACCCCAAAAAAAAACTCGAAACGAACCGAAAAAAAAAAATCCACACACTACTCGCTCGACTCTACCCCGGAGGAATCGTCGTAGGCGACGCGTCGCGACGTCGACGTCGATGATTCGAAATATTATATTAAAAAAATAATAAAAAAATAAAACCAAAAAACCACCACCTCCTGGGGTACTCGCCTCAACCGTCGCCGGGGCGCACGTGTTAAACCACCAGCACTCGGTCGATTTCTACGCGCTCTCGGACGCGTGTAAAAGCGCGTGTAAATCCTCTACGGCGTGTAATTATTACTACTACTATTTATATTATTATTTTTATTTTTTCGATTTAATTTTCTTGTTGGTCGAATGGTGTGGAAAAGCGTAGAGAGACAGGTCGCGCGCACCTCGCCCGCCGACTCGATCGACACTGGCGCTGGCACGGAACACGGAACACGAAACATGGAAATGGAGGAGAGAGAGAGAAACGGAAAAAAAAAATTAAGGCGAGGAGGAGAGAGAGAGCCGGCTCTCTCTCGGAAACGGACGGCGCGACGCCGGTTCGCGACGCGCAGGCGTCGTTTTGTCTTCTCTTCTTCTCTTGCTTGGTGTTCTGTGTTGTACAGGGCGTCCCGGCGGCGGGGTTGAGGGCTATAGGGCGCCGCTTTCGGGGTGGTTTTATGAGGAGGTTTCGCCGCTATTGATAGGGTGCAAATGAGTAGGTATACTGATTTTTGTTGGAATTATTAGGGACTTAAAAAAAAAGTTGAAAAATACAGAGGGTGTACAACTGCGTCTAGAACTATTTAGAACGCTTCAGAACTATTTTTGAACGTTCCAGAATCATTTAGAATTGTATCTAGAACCATTTAGAATGATCCAGAATTATTTAGAACTGTTGAAACTCATTTGGAACGCTTTAGAAGCATTTTAGGAGGTTCCAGAATCATTTAAAACTGTATCCAGAACCATTTAGAATTATCCAGAATTATTTAGAACTGTTGAAACTCATTTGGAACGCTTTAGAAGCATTTTAGGAGGTTCCAGAATCATTTAGAACTGTATCTAGAACCATTTAGAATGATCCAGAATTATTTAGAACTGTTTAGACTCATTTGGAACGCTTCAGAACCATTTTAGTAGGTTCCAGAATCATTTAGAACTGTATCTAGAACCATTTAGAATAATCCAGAATTATTTAGGACTGTTTAAACTCATTTGGAACGCTTCAGAACTCTTAGAATACTGTATAATCGTTTAGAACTGTCTAAAACTATTTAGTACGCTCCTGAAACATTTAGAACTGATGTCTAAATCCAATTAGAACGCTCTTTAGTCGTTTAGAACTGTCTAAAATCATTGAATATGCTCCAAAACCATTTAGAAATGTCTAGAACCATTTAGAACTATTTAAAACACTCCATAATTCGACTAAATGTAAATTTTTTTTATTAAAAATTGCGGTCTTTAGTTATCAAACTAAGAACTTTCCTCCATACTCTCATTACTTTTACTAACACAGTAAAAGGTTTCTAAAAAAATCAACAAGGAAATTAAAAAAGAAGAGAGTAAACTTCTGCTAAACTTCCCCAGGAATAATAAAACTCCAAGTTTCATTCGCATCAAATTTTAACGAATCAAACGTAATAACGTCCGAACGTCCTCGTTTCCTATTGTAACCAAAAACGCTCTATAAGGTCGTACAATTCGGATTTCGAATTGTACAGGGTGGTCCAAAAATAATCGATCCAAAGTTAAACGGAAGATTAACAACCTGAAAATGTTACAATCCAATCCCAGTTGCTTGATAAAAATATTAATAATAAAAAAGATACATCAAGAGGAGATGTTTTTTCATCAACTCATCAGCTCAATTTTGGCGTTCTGTAGAAGATTATATCAAAACGGAGATCACATTATAATTTCCCACTCATTTTTTCCATTTCAACTTAACCAAACTCTGGTAATATCTTTTTTATTATCAACATTTTATCAAAGCAAGTTGATATTTCGAGACCAAGAATCTTTTGATTCTCCATTCGAGTTTGTAACATTTAGGCATCCTGTATAAGATTACATCAAAACGAAGACTATATTACAATTTCCCGTTCATTTTTTTCCATTTCAACTCGTCCAAACTCTGGTAATATCTTTTTTATCATCGACATTTTATCAAAAACAAGTTGATATTTCGAGACCGAGAACCTTCCATTCGAGTTTGTAACATTCACCCTGTATAGCACGCCGGGCGACCCCTCGTGAATTACGCGACTTGGGGTAAACGAACAACATGCAAGGTGTACAACGTACTATGTACAACACAGCGAGTCGTTGCCTACAACAATAATAAATGTACAGGTGGTGAAACGAAAACGTGCCGGACCGTGACCGGCTAATGTTTAATGTTATGTATGTGTGTTACATTATGCCCGGGTTTCCCATCGAATTTCTGTGTTTCTGATTTTTCTGATTACAAACGAAAAGCCCACCCCTAACGGGGGGGATTTTTAGATGGCTTTGATGGTATAATTTACTGCTTTATTGGACGAAAAAGTATCCGGAATATATGATTTAAATTACCTGCAAGATTTTATAACTGTTTCAAAAAGGTTGTGCGGAATTTAAGGAGGTTATTGTGGTGAACAATTTTTTGTAAACATACAAGTTGTTCTTAACTAGCATGCAAAAATTAGAGAAATTTTTTAATCAATTTGGTTGTAGCAGCTGATTGAATCGGTTCATGTCACTAGAGCTTTGATAATTTTGCAGTAGATAAAAAGCCAGCCACTTTACCCACCAGAAATAACCTCGTGCGACATTTTGTTGTTTCCCAAACTCAAATTGCTACTCCGGGGAATCCCGTTTTGACTCAATAAATACCATCAAAGAAAATTCGCAAAAACCGTACCAAAAAGGGCCTATAAAAAATGCCTCGATGATTGAATAATGCATCTTACTGTATGTATCGCTTCAAAATGAGTATATTTAGCAGCAAAAATTAGGAATTTTGCGTTATTATTTCGAATTTTCCGCTTACTTTTTTTGTCACTACAAGCGCTATATGAGAAATAAAGTAAAGTGAATATGAAATATAATACAAGATACAGTCGAATGATTAAATAAGGACCATCTGGCAGGGGGGGCGACGCCCGAAGGGGTGCCCACCTGTCCTGAATCGCCCAAGCGAGGAAATTCTTACCACGATGAGCAGATATATATTATAACGGCTTCTTCTCGATGGGGTAAATACTATAAGACACGTGCCATATTGGCAATATAATGTCTCTAAACCATTGGCGTAAATGCCAAAATTAATCACCGAAATTCATAGAAAAAAAGCCCTTTTACTCTGGAGATATACAGAGTGTCTTATAAGTATAATTCTAAGCAACTTTCTACAACGAAAACCGAAATGAACTCGGTTCAAAGTTGACAAGTTGAAAAGTGCACTGAAAGCAAAATGTTCGTTTCATTTTTTGTTCATTTCAAGTGGTTTAGTATGAAATTTAGTATGAATTGTAGAGGTAGGGGCAAAAATTCCTCTTAGATATGAGAGAATACATTTAATTTCGCATATTTGAAAATATGGTGATCAATAAACTCTGTAACTTTTAAAATAATCGCGAAATTTGCGAACTTCCTTAATTTTTGTGGGGCAGTTTATATTCCTAATTAGCCGGCGAGTGAAAAGTGATCGATGAAATATGTAAACAAATATTTGTTTAGGAAGTTGTACTTTTTATATCTCCGCCCGTCGCGACGTCCAGAAGGGTAGCGCAATAACATTTCCCGGTGGAAATTCGATACACCATCGGCGAGTGTGTGTGTGGCGGATTATAGGCGATAAGGTAATTTAGAAATTAATATTTGATGTATACAGGGTGTTAAGAATCGTTTGTAACCGTTTAGAATCATTTAGACCGCTCTAGAATCGTTTAGAACCATTGAAAACGCTTCAGAATCATCTGGAACTCTCCAGAATCATGTCAAAAAATCTAGAATCATTTAGATCGCTGCAGAATCATTTAGAATTCAACTGTATAGAATCATTAAGACCGCTTCGTAATCATATAGAAATATCTAGAATCAGAATTGTCTCGAATCATTTAGAACTCTCTTTAATCATTTTAAATGCTCCAGAACCATTTAGAACGCTACAGCATGATTTTTAGTCCCACAAGAAACAGACCAAAATTTTAAAATCTCTTCTAGCACAGCAAATGTCATGTCATATGTCACATTATAACCTAATATTTCGCAAAATAGGAACAAATTTTGTATATTTACATACCGAATTGTGGTTTAAATTAAGTATCTACGAAAGAAATAGAATTAGAATATATAATAAAGTCATTATTCTTTTGCTATAATTAGTTGACAGTTGAACTGATTATCTCACAAAAAAGAGACCATCCGTATTTTTTTTTTATAGCGTTTTCCATTGGTAAAATAGTGCGCACTTAGTAGAGCAAGTGTCATATGTCACATTTTAACCTAATATTTCGCAAAATAAGAAAACTTTGTCTATTTACATGCCGAATCGTTGTTCAAATTAAATATCCACGTAAGAAATAGAATTAGAAAATACAATTCTTTCGCTATAATAAGTTAACCTGATTGTCCCACAAGAAACAGACCAAAATTCTATCTCTTCTAGCACATCAAATGTCATGTCATATGTCACATTATAACCTCATATTTCGCTCAACAACAAGAATTATTGTATGTTTACATACCGAATTGTTATTCAAAAACATCCACGAAATACCCGAATGGAATTAAAACAACTCCAATAAAATGGAATGTTTAATAGCGAACGTAGACCACATAAAATTCGACATCGAAGTAGCCTTAGAAGAACAATATGGAGCTCTACCGCTACCCTTCCACGGAATGGACAGTAAGATACCGCTTTTAAATCACCATATTCGCCGTTTTCTCTTTTAATCGAACCTTATTTAAAACCTAGTGTAGACGAACAACATGCAAAACTATCAGAAATTGTTGCTTTAAGCGAGCTTAGAGCTTGTTCGTATAAGGCGAATATGGATATAATATAGTATTTTATAGAATGTTGGGTATAATAATTGTATTTTAGAATCGACGTCAGCCGTGTGCCTGTTCTTCTCGACGCCCGAAGGCTGCCCGAAGGGCGCCCAATGCCCCTTCAGGCACGTCCGAGGCGATCGCACAATCGTCTGCAAACATTGGCTGCGCGGCCTCTGCAAAAAAGGCGACCAGTGCGAGTTCCTGCACGAATACGACATGACCAAGATGCCCGAATGCTACTTCTACTCGCGCTTCAACGCCTGCCACAACAAGGAGTGCCCCTTCTTGCACATCGATCCCGAGAGCAAGATCAAAGACTGCCCGTGGTACGATCGCGGCTTCTGCCGGCACGGGCCCCACTGTCGCCACCGGCACGTTAGAAGAGTCCTATGCACTAACTACCTATCCGGTTACTGTCCCGATGGGCCCCAGTGTAAATACATGCACCCGAGGTTCGAGCTACCGGCTCCGCCCGATCAACAGAAGGAGCTGAAGAAGACGCCGGTGATTATTTGTCATTTTTGCGGGGAGCACGGGCATAAAGCGATACATTGTAACAAGATGGTGGATCCCACGAAGGTGTTGTTTATACAGTCGGATGAGCATCGGGATAAGGAGGGGGCCGAGCAGGCGGCGCAGAATTCGTATTTGCAGAAGATGCTGCCGAAGAGGTTGGAGGATGTGACTTGTTATAAGTGCGGGACGAAAGGGCATTATGCTAATCGGTGTCCTAAAGGGCATTTGGCGTTTTTGTCGCAGTCGAAGTCGAAGGATGTGAGCGAGAATGATGTGTAGTTTGGGTGGGGTTTTTTAGGGGGTGTTGGGTGGTTGAGTGGTGGTGTTTTAGGGGGTGGATGTTTGGGGGATTTTGTGGAGGAAAGTTTGTAAGAATGGATGGCTTTGAGTTCTTAGTTTTCGAGCTACAGGGTGTTAAAATTTGAGGTAAAAAAAAGGCTTTTCTGAAGACTTATTGTTGTATAAAAAGCCATTTTCGCGTTAAAAAATAGAAACTTAAAACGATTTTTTTGTTCAAAAGTTCATTTTGAGACTGCTTTTTGGTATTTTATTGAAATTTGGTAAACGCTTTCCAGGTATGGAAACACTTTTTGGGGGATAAAAATTAATTTTCTATCGATTTGAGTACATTTCAATACAAAATTGCAATTATCTCGAAAACTAATCGAGATGGAAATACCGTATTTACTTTAATTAGTAGAAAAAACATTTGTCTACAATTTTTGCAGAACGAAAATTTTCGAAAAATAGCTTAGTTTTCGAGATATTTTTAGATTTTTTATGGATTTTCCAAAACTTATCGATTTGAGTAGAATTCAATAAAAAATCACAATTATCTCGGAAACTAACTGAGATAGAAATATCCTATTTATTTCATTCAGTAGAAAAAACGTTCCTCTACAATTTTTAAAGAAATAAAATTTTTGAAAAATCGCTTAGTTTTCGAGATATTTTTGATTTTTTATGGATTTCCCAAAACTTATCGTTTTGAGTACAATTCAATAAAAAATCACAATTATCTCGGAAACTAATTGAGATAGAAATATCCTATTTATTTCATTCAGTAGAAAAAACGTTTCTCTACAATTTTTAAAGAAAGAAAATTTTTCTAAAATCCTTTAGTTTTCAAGATATTTTTAAATTTGTATGGATTTCCCAAAAATGATCGATTTGAGTACAATTCAATAAAAAACCACAATAATCTCGGAAACTAATTAAGATAGAAATATCCTATTTATTTCATTCAGTAGAAAAAACGTTCCTCTACAATTTTTAAAGAAAGAAAATTTTTCTAAAACCTTTTAGTTTTCGAGATATTTTTAAATTTGTATGAATTCCCCAAAAATTGTCGATTTGAGTACATTTCAATACAAAATCACAATTATCTCGAAAACTAATCGAGATAGAAACACATAATTTACTTTAACTAGTAGAAAAAACATTTCTCTATAATTTTTGCAGAACAAAACTTTTTGAAAATCGCTTAATTTTCGAAATATTTCTATTTTTTGGGGTGTTTGTGTGTTCATTTTTAGTGTTCAGTGACATCCACGTCCCAAATTTTTTAAAAATATCTGGAGTAATAAGAAAATTATGAGAGAAAAGTATTTTTTCTTCTTTTAAACTTTTCTTCTTAAAATCACCCAAATATTTACACCCCGAAGTATCGACACTCAATTAATTAACACCCTGTATAATGTAAATTATTGTGTAAATAAATATCTTCGAAAATCCTGCATTGAATTGTGAAATTAAACGACTAAATTTTGGATTTGTAATTGTTGTATTTTTACATTTATTTAATATACACTTACGGCGTTTAATATAACAAAAATAATTGAGATATTATTAGAGGTTCGCTCAAATAGATTTTTTTAATATTAAAATAATTTGCATTTATTATACACATTTCGCACTGGTTGAGTCGCCAATGGCTCGATTAGAATTATGCTCGAATGGATTTTATACAGTGCTTTTCAATAGTAACAGTCCATTAGAGTCTATACAGTAGGAGTTCCTGAAGAGTGGCGAATTTGAAAATATTCCAGAAAAATTCGCAACATCGATTACACCTCACACAAAAATTTTCAAATTCTCAACTCCTCAGAAACTCCAACTGTATAATCTCTAATGAACTGTTACTATTGAAAAGCACTGTATATTTCTAATCCAAAATAACGTGTTTAAAAAGTTCGAAATCATCAAGAAGACACAACGATAACTAACATTTATAGTATTCGAATCGACAACGGACGGTTCTCAGTTGAAAAATCCCCAATCGAATCGGTTCTCGACCAGCAAGAACTCTCAAGAGAATTTTATTACAGAATAATCGAAAATGTTCCTTTTGTCGATTCGAAAACGTATATTATATATTGTGCTTAATACATTTACAGTCATACAAACGCACATCCATGTGTACAATCTGTGAAAAACCAATGTAATATACAGTGCGTCCCTATTTAGCGTGGGACATGCTGTATACGAAAATACGAAATGCAAAATAACGCCGAAAAATTTTAAGAGGTGATTCAGTGATGTAAATTAAGGTGGGTGCTTGGTATAAAATTTTTTGAAAAAACCCTTCACTGAAAAGTTATACCCCTCCGAAAATTGAAATAAAAATTTAATTTTCCTCTTTATTTTCCCTGTATATTAAGCTAAAGACGCGAAACTTGGGGAATATTATTCGTCAACGAAACTGGACGTTCTGAAATTTTTTCAACCCCGAAGTGTGCTTAGAAGGGGTTGAAATTGTCAACCCCTAAGACGTTTTTTCCTGCAACTTTTTTCTAGATGAAAATTTTTCTTTAAAAAAAATATGGCTGAAAAGCCCAATTCGTTTACTAACTTTTTTATCTCTACAAGTTTTTTCAATAACTTGAGCGTTTACGAGAAAAAAAAATTAAATGACAGCCAAAAATAAAAATCATTTTTTTCAAAAAATTTGTCGGTGTTATTTAGATACACCCTATATACAGTGTGTCCCACGCTTGATTAAAAAAAGAGTTTTAGAGAAGTATATCTCGTAAAAACTCACAAAACAGTGAGCCTTATAAAACCAATTTACTAAAAGATATAATAAATTTTCCACCCCAGTGCATAAACCGATTCAAAATACTTTCGATATTATTTAACGAATAAACTAACATTCAACAGATTGTCACTAGCTAAATTCATTTTAATAGATTAATATTCAACGCTATTCTAACATTTACAGACACTGATCGTCCATGTAGAATATTATTTATATAAAGTGGATTGTCATGTTTCAATGTTAGGCCATTGATTACAATATGTAATATATATTTTTTTATAGATATTTTAAGAAGTTTTAAGATGAATACGAGTGGTTAACCCCCGTGTTCAGAAGTTTTTTATAACCAAATGGTTTTGTAACTAACGATTATATTATTTCCGAATTTTCGGTTACAAAACCAGTTGGTTATAAAAAAAAACATCAGAATACGGGGGTAAGAGTTATCACCTCTGTTGTGATGGTCGAATTTTCACTGTAGAAAATAAATTAGAAGAAAATTCACTTACGAATGAATTTTCCTCCTCGTTTTATTTCCCGTAGATATAAGTTGAATATGAAAGACTTGCGGTAGTTCCCCTAGCCACTCTTATGCATCTTTTTCTATTCAATTCTTATAATAAGGATAGGAGTATGTAGGGCCGAAATTTCGATGGTTTTCCATCGAATTTTCCACGTGGAAATAACAGCTTAATGGAACTGATTTTTGCGAAATTAAACCTAATTTACTACGAGTGAATGGTTTTTAAAGGAAACTTTTTGCGTTTCTTAAACAGTTTTATACAGGGTGATCCGTTATCGGATGAATCTTTCGCGTATAGTTCGACCACTCTGTATATTTTTAGGCGAACGAACACATCGAATTTTTTTTTCTACTTTCCATTTTTTAAATTTAACGTCAATTTTGGCACAATTTTCTTTCCGAATTTTTTCCAGAGTCCTCGACAATACTTTTTGTGCTTCCCTAGGCATTTATTACGTACATTATAAATGTTTAGAAGAATTTTTTTTACTCAGTCGTAGGAGAACCTACTATAGATTTAGATTGTCAAAAGCCGATAGAAAAATATTAATTATGGATAATTTGATGATTAGTTTTCGTTATCTTAAAGCAATTTAGAGATTTTGAAAACGTACAGTGTTGCCAAAGTGTGTATCAAACCGACTTTGGGAAAACTTTGTAATGTTTTCGGTAAATTCGCGATAGATGAGCCAAAAGTGTTTTAGGAAAAAAAGTATTTTTGAGTATTTACAATTAATTAGTTCACATCGATTTGTTTTTACAATGGTAATTATGTTACACATTCTACCTACTTTTTTTTTAAATATATTTCGCGAAAGATAATTTCAATTTTCAATACGCTAAAAGAAATTATAAAAATATCGTTCTTTTAAAAATTTCAATGATCTCTTAAGCTGGATATTTTTGTTGAAAATAATTCGAAAATACGACTTTTGGTCCTTTCAACTATACTGATATATTGAGTAGAAGATATGGATTATTCAGTAAAGAAATGATATGGAAGATTTTTTTTATACGAGTAATGAAATTTTCACGACTCTCGGAAAGGTCAAATAATTTGGCAAATTTTTCTATATTCTATCACCCTACATGGTTAATCATTTACCAGCAATTAATACTCACGAATAACATTCATCAGTTATTATACAAAATATAGTGCAAAGTATACAAATTCACAAATTGGTGTTTCAATTCAATTATACAGCGCTTGAAGCCTTTAGAACTCCTCTCACGTAACAAGAAGCGTTGAAAATGTACAATTTCCATCTTACAGACCTTCTTAAATAGCAAAAGACGCTAAATGTCACATCTACAGCTATTTTCGCTGGTCTGTAATCGAACGATTCTAATTTCAACACACCCGTCATCTTTACTATCAACAGGCACTTTAGCATTCAAGGTTTCGTGTAAGAGATGAAATAAGCGAGAGAATTAAAGAATTCATTTAGTTTCTGTACCATTGTAACAATTAGAAGAGTGTTTATAATTGAGTGATTATAAATGATTGGGAGTTAATTATCCGATAACCGACTGTTAAGACTTGTATCAGACTCACAGTAAGCCGAAATTGGTAAATAAAGTCTCATTATCTAATCGAAAGCCTCATTTTATGTAAGAAAGTCCTTTAAAACTCTTTAAAAAAAACCAAAATGGAGAAGAAGGTATTGAATGATAATAAATGATAGTAGGCCAATAACATATGACAGTTGACAGTTATCGCATTGAAGGAGGAGAAGGCATCGAATGACAGTAGGCCAGCATATGACATTGACAGTTAGGGCCAACTACTCCCAATCGCTTATAATCATATCGAACAAAATGGTGTAAAAGTAGCCATAATCTTCCAAAACGAACAAAGCAGAACCAAAGCGGAAGATAGATACATTCAGATTGCTTCAATCCAGACCGCAACATGGCGCATTTCTACGAGTTAAACAAAGACAGATCGATAAAACAACACTTTTGTCACAATGACAAATGACACAAACCACAAAAATCGCACTCATAGCCTACTACAACCCAATATCGCGATCTGAAATGTACACAATCAAAGCCTACTCGACCGGACTCTCGCCGGGACTATCCAGGCCTCCAGGTCAAGGCGAATCGTTCGAATCCGATCCCAACGAATGGATCGGAAACAACGGATACCAACCGCTCGTCACGTGCGTCAACGTCACGGCGTCCAAGGCCACCTCGGCGCCGCCCAACCCATGGTTGTGCTCGAACCCGCCCTGCCGCTCCCACAGCATCACCACCAGACTTCTGCCCAAGGCGTCGCACGCCTGATACCTCAACGTCTGCCTGAATTGGGGCTCGCACGAGTGCTTCGCCACGCGCGTCTTCTTCTTCTGCAACCAACGGTCGCCGTCGCGCAGATAGCACTTGACGTAGGTGTCGGGCGGCGCCTCCTTGGCCGGAATGTGCCTGGCGCAGGCCACCTCCACCTCCAGCTGGCCCTTGGTCATCTGCAACCCCAGCTTGATCTCCACCGGTTTGGTGCTGGACAAGCGGAAACCTCGCGGTTTGATCTGACCTGGACCGAGTTGGGGCGGTGAGGTACGCTCCGGGCTCGATGGTGGGCTGTCTTTCGAAGGCTCCGATGACTCCGCCACGCTCTCCTTCCTCGAATCCCGACTCCCAGCTCCGCTCGAACCTTCCCAATTCAACCAACTTATACTCACAACTCTAAGAATCCTACAGCAACACTTACGTCTGTGTCGTTTATCTCCAGTGAGGCTCATCGTCCTACCCAGCTCCCCTTTCACCGCCTTCAGCGACTTGAGTATCTCCTCCGGATCCCTCAACATCCTCGTGCAACTACTCCTCCTTCTATCCCTACTATACGAAGGAGGTGGTGGTGCAGCTGGTCGCTCAACCTCTTGTTGCTCCTGCGCCGATTGGAACGAAGACCTCCTGGAGCCGGGCAACGAGCGCGAGAAGTCCTTGCCGAGCTCGTAGACCTCGACCTCGAGCTGCTCGGATTGGGAGGAGCCCCGGCGGGAGCCCCACGCGTGATCGGGGTGCAGCAGGCTGGCGCACTCGCCGATCGAATCGACGTCGTCGGAGACGCTGCGCTGGGCGCCGAAGTCGCCGCGCTTGCCGGCGCCGGCGATTGAGGCTCTTGGTGAGGTGTGGGGCGATTTGCCGCGCGCCTGGCGCGGGTCTTCTAGTCGACACCAGACGGCGCGGTCGTCGAGGAAGGCCTTCTGGATGTCGACGGAGCATTCGCCGAGGAAGGCGTGCTCGTTGCGGGGTATGAGGTCCCACAAGGTGATCTCCAGGACTCTCTCCATCAGCTCGTCGCCTGGTACGTTGGGGAAGTTCAAATTCGCGTTCCATATGGGGTTCTGGCTGGCTGGGGCTACTTCGGTTTGTACACAATGCTCTTCGGATCTATACCAACAATACTAGTACTAATATCAAGAGGTATATATGGATTTAATTGGGGCTTACGTTAGAGGTAAGAGGCACAATCTCGCGTAGGCTTCGGGCAGCGATCCGAAGCCTAGGGAATCGTCGCGGGCGGCGAGTTCGTCTGCAGCTAGTACCGCTACTACCAGTTCTTTTCGTTCGTCGTGGTACCACACCTGGATCTGGATCCTGCCGCTGACGGCGCGTTCTCGGGCGATTTGTTCCTGCAAAAGAATGTTTTATAGCCCTGCGAATTGTATGTTGTACGGTACTGTATACAATTCTAGCTATCGACATGCTTGAAACGAGAGGTACTTGTTGTTTTGTACACTTATGGATGTCCATGCTATATACAGATTGCTTCATTTTTTCATTGCAACTTCAGGCTGTTATTTTGATAATCTTTCTTTGTTCGACTCATGGAAATGGCGCCATGTTGCAATCGCGAATGAAGCACGGTGTATACAGGGTGTTCCGAAAATGTTGTGCAAAATTTAAGGAGGTTATTGTTGGTGAACAATTTTTTGCAAAGATACCGTTAGTCGAAAATGAGCAATTTTGGTTCCAGAGTCATTTATGTTTAGATTGTTTTTCTTAACTTCTTGAATGTAAAAAACGACAATATCTTGTTCAATAAGGATTCACAATAAGTATTCAAAATGGCGACCTAGTACTTTATTACATGAATTGATCCTTTGATTCATCAAATCTTCATCAAATCTTCATCTAATTCTTCTTGGGTGTCTACAGGAGTTTCGTACACCAACCACTTCGTGTAAAACCCCAGAGGAAAAAAAGCCAATGGGGTTAATTCGGTACTTCGCGGTGGCTACCGAATAGGTCCTCTTCTTCCAATCCATCGGTTTAGCCTACTTAAGTTTGGCACAACATTTTTTGGAACACCTTGTACATTCAGTGGTTAACATGAAAGCTAAACTATGTATCGAGTTTCCACCGCAGCCGGAACGTTTGTCGTTTTCCCATGCAAGAGAGTTTTCCACCGGAAAATCCGCGAGTTTTCCGGCGGCCGTGAAAACCGCTCGAAAGCTGTTTTGGTCAAGTAAGTAAAAAAAAAGCGAGATTCTCGTGCCAGTTGGGACAAAGATAGCGGGTTATTTCTAAATTTAATCATACGAAAAAAAAAAAAAAAAAAAATAAAGGAGTTCATACAAGCCCAAAACGTACCGGAAAATTTTTTGGAAAATCGCCGGCGACACGTCGACCGTCTGCGGGAAATTCGAAGGGGGGAAAGAAATACAAGAAAATTTCTATTTGAATTGTTTACTTGCTTATAGGCTCATACATAGTGTACTTTTTCCTGTCATTTTTTTTTTTTTTTTTTTTTTTTTTTTTTTTTTTTTTTTTTTTTTTTTTTTTTTTTTTAGGAACACTCCGTCCCAGCTGACACTAACATTTATTTTTAACGACTAACGGCGATTTTTTTGGGGGGGAAAATTGCGGAAATTCGCGAACAGGGAGCCATTTTTTTGATGGTTTTAAACCAACTGATAGGAAGTTGATAGGAAAATGTTATCTAAATGCATTATAAAAAAATAATATCAACCTGTAAGTTTTGGGGGAATTTCCGGAATTCTCCTTTTGATAAATTATCAAAAAAAAAAACGTCTAATACAAATTTCCTACTAGACACAAATGTACAATATATTGTCTCCTTTTGTAAACTGGTTTAAAATGTCCAGTCGAGGAGGATCAAAAGTAATTCGTTTTTTTCGAGGAAATTATAATTCGAAGATATTCAAAAGGTAATAAGTCTTTTCGAGTGATTAATGATTGTATGTTTTGTAGGTATGTATATAGAAAAACGACAAGGATCAGTCTTTTACTTCGCATGGATTTATCACAGAGAAAGCATTTTGTTTGTACCTGAACGAGAGTTGATTGAAAAAAATATGATATTTAGTATATCTACTTAAATTTCGTCCGGAAATCGCCCATATTCACCCGATTTTGGCTTATCAACGTGATAACTGTCAGTCTGTTAAAATTTAACAGTCTGTTAACAATGTTTAATAGTTCGATTTTGCTCTGTTACTTTTATCTGACAGTTATAGGTATTAAGTATTAACTGACATAATTGATAAGAACTTATCTCTCTGTTAGCTATTTAACAGTTTATTGGTAAATATGGCCGAATAGCTTGGACGTTTCCAAAAGAAATTTACTATTTTATTTAGTGCTACTTTTTTTGTTGGGATATTTGGGAAAAACGTATAAAAAATTCGATAATTTTGATCATCCTCTATATCGGCAATAATAGGAAGTCTCTTTATAAAGAAATAATTTGATAAATAAATAAATCATCAAACTAGGATTCCCATAAAATCAGTTTAAGTCAGCTTAAAATATTCTAGCCGATGCTTTATTTGGAAGAAAAAGAATGCCAAAAAATTATAAACTCATCTTCATCTTGTTTATAATTCAAATAAGCAACGTTGCCACGTTTAAAAATCGGAAATATATAATCGTTGGTTGCAAAACCAGTTGGTTATAAAAAAAAAACTTACCATTATTGCCGGACATTGCGATAATATTTTCTATTTACCTAAATCTACAGAGCATTAGAGCATAGATATGCGGGGTAAGCGTAATTTTTCCTAGCATTTTTGAACGCCCCTCGTACATTTATCGATTCGGAAATACTACGCTTAATTAGTAAGTACCTAACACTCATTATATTATCTATACAAAAAAAAAACCATTCATTTTAACTGGATATTTCGCCCGTTTTGAGCTCACTTAGGTCAAATCAGCCGGCATTTTTTTTCTTATAGATATGTTTGCTACTGTTTAATAGATTCTTCGTTTATAAATATACATTTATTAAAGCTCTCAGTTTTGATTTATCTACTTCCTAGTTTTATTGATATTCATTTATAAGAAATTTGCGCGCCAGTTTTAAGAAAATGTTGCTTTTTGTAAATCGGATGTCAACTGTCATTTGTCATTTAAATTGTTTTAATGGCGGATTTCCCGAATGATTATTTAGCAAAATATTTGATAAAAACAGCGCGCAAATTCTGTTATTTTCAATAAACATTGAAACATCAACAGACATATATATATTTTTTTGGAAGATATGTTCAAAAACAGTTAGTTTTTAATCTACTTAAGCTGTACACTGTACAGGATAAATTCATGAGTTTACGTTAGAAAAGAGATAGTCTTCGTTTACAGGGCCCTCTAAAAAAAACCAACGGAGTTTTCTGCTTCGATTTCGAAAGAAAAATCGGAAAACCTCCGCGCTTTTCACGCTCAGTACGATCGATTCGTTGCACGATTTTCACTCGACATTTTTATTTTGTAAATTTCAAAGCAAACGGCCACTTCAAAAACTCGAAAAATTAAGTAAGAAGGGGATTCGTTAATCCCGAAATCGGAGATACTACGATAAATAGAGTTATAAATACTCAATTTATTATGGTACTTCCAGTCAACGAATCGCCCTGTATATGTTAAAAAAATCGTCAAGTAGTTGGAAAATTGCTAATTCGATGAAAGTTTCGCTACACAACTCTTAGAGACTCTACAATGAATTTTTGCTCGTAATTCAACGCGTCACTTGTCAACACGTCATTTGTCAACCTGTCACTTGTCGCCTGTCAATCGGAACGAAATCCGTCAACGCCCGCTTCGACGTCGATTACACAAAAACAATAATTTCAGTCGATTATCAAAAAATACCAGATATGCATTAAGCTAATATGTTTTAAAGGGGATTTATACCGGCGTTTTGGGTAGTTTTCGTCTCGTCGGCGACGACGGCGTCTTGTCCGTCTCGGGGGGCTCTGAAAAAACAAAAAAAACAAAATTCTCCCAGTGCTACCAACACTGAATTCGTCAGCGCTACCAACTCACCTATATGCAATGCGGAAATGTTCGCCTCGGATGGTTTCCTGCCGGTTATGATGGTACTTGGAGGCGGTATGGGATCGTCCAGAAGATCGCACATTCTCAAATCAGTGGCGTGCTCTACCAGGAGCTCAACGGTGTCCCCGGTACGATCCATGATGGCGCAAACCTCCTCGAAGGAGCGGTCTATCAACGACACGCCGCCCCATTCCAGCACCTGTACCGATTCATTACTCGATTAGTAGCATTCAGTCACCGGTTAAAAAGGTTGTGTGAGGGTTTGTACGCGGTTGAAAAGGTTGTGTGGAGGTTTGTACTCGGTTAAAAAGGTTGTGTGAGGGTTTGTACCGGGTTAAAAAGGTTGTACTGGGTTAAAAAGGTTGTGTGAGAGTTTGTACCGGGTTAAAAAGGTTCTAAGAGGGTTTGTACGCGGTTGAAAAGGTTCTAAGAGGGTTTGTACGCGGTTAAAAAGGTTGTGTGAGGGTTTGTACTCGGTTAAAAAGGTTCTAAGAGGGTTTGTACGCGGTTGAAAAGGTTGTGTGAGGGTTTGTACGCGGTTAAAAAGGTTGTGTGAGGGTTTGTACGCAGTTGAAAAGGTTGTGTGAGGGTTTGTACTCGGTTAAAAAGGTTCTAAGAGGGTTTGTACGCGGTTAAAAAGGTTCTAAGAGGGTTTGTACGCGGTTAAAAAGGTTGTGTGAGGGTTTGTACTCGGTTAAAAAGGTTCTAAGAGGGTTTGTACGCGGTTGAAAAGGTTGTGTGAGGGTTTGTACGCGGTTAAAAAGGTTGTGTGAGGGTTTGTACGCAGTTGAAAAGGTTGTGTGAGGGTTTGTACTCGGTTAAAAAGGTTCTAAGAGGGTTTGTACGCGGTTAAAAAGGTTGTGTGAGGGTTTGTACTCGGTTAAAAAGGTTGTGTGAGGGTTTGTACTCGGTTAAAAAGGTTCTAAGAGGGTTTGTACCCGGTTAAAAAGGTTGTGTGAGGGTTTGTATCGGGTTAAAAAGGTTCTAAGAGGGTTTGTACGCGGTTGAAAAGGTTGTATGAGGGTTTGTACGCGGTTAAAAAGGTTGTGTGAAGGTTTGTACCCGGTTGAAAAGGTTGTGTGAGGGTTTGTACCGGGTTAAAAAGGTTGTGCAAGGGTTTGAACCCGGTTAAAAAGGTTGTGTGAGGGTTTGTATCGGGTTAAAAAGGTTGTGTGAGGGTTTATACCCGGTTAAAAAGGTTGTATGAGGGTTTGTACGCGGTTAAAAAGGTTGTGTGAGGGTTTGTACGCGGTTGAAAAGGTTGTATGAGGGTTTGTGCCGGGTTAAAAAGGTTGTGTTTTCAACTTAATTAAACATTTTCTAATAAACCAGGACGAATTTAAGAAAATTTACTGTTCATTTCGACTTATTTTTTGACGATCTTTTCAAATCTCTTATCATTTTTAATGAACATTATTTGGTACAAAAGTTACCTCCCCTTTGAAATCACTTTCATACAGTAATCCCTATATGTCGCATTTTATAAATAACACCCTGTATGTATAATTCATCCTTATATACTAGTAATTCGGGCATAAAATATATTATTTTTCCAACAGCTTGTCAATGCAGTTTACAATACAAACATATTACCTTGTCGCCCTGTTGAAGGCCGCCTTTTTCGGCGGGTCCGCCGGGGACGGTCCACACGATGTAGGCGAAAAGTCGACCGTCGGGGGCGGTTTTTCCTCCCACGACGCGCATTCCGAAGCCTCGGGCTGCAACGGAAACGGCGCTCGATTAGAGCGATTAATTCGTTTTTGGAGGAATTTATTGCGGGGGATTCCCCCGTTCGGTGATGAGGTATATATGAAGGTGAGGCGGTGAGAGCGCGGTTAGGCGGCGGTGATTAGAATTATTAGGTAATTCGGGCGGTGTTTGTTTGTACAGGGTGTCTCAAAATTGATGTCCTGTTCGCTTAAAATTGCACTCAATAAGAATGCACAAAATATTTGAAATATCTCGAAAACTAAGAGATTTTGGAAAAATTTTCATTCTCTAAAAATTGTAGAGGAACGTTTTTTCTACTAATTGAAATAAACGGGATGTTTGTATCTCAATTAGTTATCGAGATAATTGGGTTTTTTTATTGAATTGTACTCAAATCGATCATTTTTGGGGAATGCATAAAATATTTGAAATATCTCGAAAACTAAGAAATTTTGGAAAAATTTTCATTCTCTAAAAATTGTAGAGGAACGTTTTTTCTACTAATTGATATGTACAGAATGTTTGTATCTTAATTAGTTATCGAGATAATTTAGTTTTTTTATTGAATTATACTCAAATCGACAATTTTTGGGGAATCCATAAAATATTTGAAATATCTCGAAAACTAAGAGATTTTGGAAAAATTTTCATTCTCTAAAAATTGTAGAGGAACGTTTTTTCTACTAATTGATATGTACAGAATGTTTGTATCTTAATTAGTTATCGAGATAATTGAGTTTTTTTATTGAATTATACTCAAATCGACAATTTTTGGGGAATCCATAAAATATTTGAAATATCTCGAAAACTAAGAGATTTTGGAAAAATTTGTATTCTCTAAAAATTGTAGAGGAACGTTTTTTCTACTAATTGATATGTACAGAATGTTTGTATCTTAATTAGTTATCGAGATAATTGAGTTTTTTTATTGAATTATACTCAAATCGACAATTTTTGGGGAATCCATAAAATATATAAAATATCTCGAAAACTAAGAGATTTTGGAAAAATTTTCATTCTTTAAAATTAGTAGAGGAACGTTTTTTCTACTAATTGAAACAAACGGAATGTTCCTATCTCAATTAGTTTTCGAAATAATTGTGATTTATTATTGATTGTACCTACTCAAATCAACAACTCCTAGGGAATCGAAGCATCGCCACTCAATTAATCAACACCCTGTATAAGCAGGTCAATTTCCCACAGCAAAAATAAAATTCGCGGCAAATAAAAACAACCCTTCGCGCACACACGAGCGACAAATTACCCCAAATCGTTCTTATTCATTCGAACTTTCGAGCTTTCGAGCTTTGTACCTCGCAAAGTTCTTTCACCGGTAAGTCCTAGACATCTTAATTGGATCGGCGATGCTAATAAAGCGCGTCTTTAATGCAAAGAGGAGAGTCGCTTTGTGTTCTCCGGCGCCTTAACGATGGAAAGTTGAAGAAAATGAAGAAGAAAAAAAATAATAATAATAAGTACAAGGAAAAAAGGAAACGTGTAAGTAAGAATAATATCGCAGTCAGGTAACCGGAGAGATTTCTTATCAGTTAATTGGATGCTTTATTAGTGTGACTGTGCGTCGAGGCGCTTTGATTGAATTTAATTGGAAATTGGAGAATCCACGGATAAATTTAGAACTATCTAGAATCATTTAGAACTATCATTAGCACAATTCAATAAAAAAACACTCTTATCTTGAAAAGTAGTCGAGATATAAACACTATATTTTGTTAATTAGTAGAAAAAACGTTTCTCTACAATTTTCGCAGAACAAAAAATTTCCAAAAATCGCTTAGTTTTTGAGATATTTCTATTTTCTATGGATCCCTCAAAAATTATAAATTTAAGCACAATTCAATAAAAAAACACTCTTATCTCGAAAAGTAGTCGAGATAAAAAAACTCTATTCATTTCAATTAGTAGAAAATACATTTCTCTACAATTTTTGCAGAACGAAAAATTTCCAAAAATCGCTTAATTTTTGAGATATTTCTATTTTTTATGGATCCCTCAAAAATTATAAATTTGAGCACAATTCAATAAAAAAACACTCTTATCTCGAAAAGTAGTCGAGATAAAAACACCCTATTTACTTCAATTAGTAGAAAAAACACTTCTCTACAATTTTTGCAGAACAAAAAATTTCGAAAAATCGCTTAATTTTCGAGATATTTTTAGTATTTTATAGATTCCCCAAAAAATATCAATTCGAGTACAATTCAATAAAAAACACAATTATCTCGTAAACTAATCGATATAGAAACACCCCATTTACCTTAACTAGTAGAAAAAACATTTCTCTACAATTTTTGCAGAACAAAAAATTTCGAAAAATCGCTCAATTTTCGAGATATTTTAAATTTTTTATGGATTCCCCTAAAACTAAAACAATTCAATAAAAACCGTAATTATCTCGAAAACTATTCGAGATACAAACATCCTATTTATATACACTAACTAGAAAATTTGAAATGCAAATTTCCCCTAATTTTTGCGGTTTGTACAATTTACTTTATTCGCTCCAAATGAGTTATAAGCCGAGTAATATGAGTAATTCGAGCGGGATCCCAACTTGCTGAATTATTCCTCCGCTACACCGTTATAATATATACCTCTATTTTACTATTATTATTCGCAGGATAGTTTCAGTTTAGGAGTAAACGAGAAATCCGGCCGGAGAGCACAAAAGGAACCAGAAATTCCCCCGTACATAGAGAGCTTTGTTACTTGTTTTTAACTTTTGAACTTAATTAAACTGCGAATACATTCGAAAACTAATCTAATTTCTATACTTCGGGTATACTCGCATATTGCTCGCTATTTTTATTAACCTGCGATATCCAGCCTTTTATGGATATCCGGAAACTCTGGAATCTAGTTATAGAGACTTCCAAGATTTAACCAGTACTTGTACTTAACTCTGGAATTAAGTTATAGAAGCATCCAAATTTTTCCAATACTTAATCTAGTACTAAATAGTTCTGGAGCGTTCTGGAAAGATTCTAGACAGTTCTAGAATTAATTATAATGCTGATTGGAGCACCATCAATGTATCAGGCCGAGAACTTTTCACCCTACCTTCGTAGAATCATCCAAAATTTATCCAGTACTTAACTCTGGAATTAACTTATAGAGACATCCAAAATATGTACTATTCCGAGTACTAGGCACTTGATGTGTATTGAAAAAATGCTAGTTTGTAAAACTAGTTAATCTGGGCTCTATATTAGTATAAAATTGTGTATTCTTTCTTGAGAAATCCAGCCTTTTAGATCTCCTGAAACTCCTGTTTCTATTTACAGAAACATCCAAAATTTATCCAGTAGATACTTAACTCTATAATCCAATTATAGAGACATCCAAAATATGTACTATCCCGAGTACTAGGCACTCGATGGTGTATTGAAAAAATGCTAGTTCGTAAAACGAGTTAATCGGGTCTCTATTAGTCTAATGGCGTATTTTTCCTGTCCGGGGGTCTGAATTAGAGGCGTTCGGCGTTTAGAGCGTTTAGAGCGTTTAGAGCGTTTAGAGCGTTTGGCGGAGGCTCCCCGAGCACGCCCATCGCATGAAAATTCCGGCCGGAACGGACGTGAAATAATAATGAAGGCGATCGTTCAAGCTAAATAAAGTCCTTTTCCCCCGTTTAATGAGAACCCCGATCGGAGTTTATTAGAAAACGAGAACCGGACAGGCGGTGTGTTATTATTTATTTATTTATTTTTTCTTATTTATTTATTTATTTATGGTGTTTTTTTTTGTTTCGATCGATTTTAAGTGGGCGCTGTGAGGGATTTAATTTATTCGTGGTTGGAAAAAATTTGCGTAATGTGTGTGGGTGTGATTTGAATGTAAAGGACCTGTTGAATTATATTATAGGGATCCTTTTTTCAACGAATTAACAATGTAGAAGACTGCTGGTGATGAATTATGTTTTGTAATTATCTCGATAATTAATTGGGATAAAAACTCACTAGTTGTGTACGAAAAATGTTTTTCTATAATTTTTTTCGATCGATTTTAGTACAATGAACTGTCTAGAATGATTTAAAATACTCCAGAATCATTAAAAACTGTCTGAAACCATTTTTAAACAGAAAATCGACCTCTTTCGTTGGCAGTCCGTTAATTTTTCGCTTTACCCTCGTATGTATTTGTATAATTTGTAGGAAAATTTCGAAATCGAAGGCGAGAATTCTCTATCATAAAGCATTTTGAAAACTTTTGTTTGCGATAGGCCGTTTGTTTTCGCGCGAACCATTATCGTTTATATGTATACAGATTCCGGGAGGAAAAAGCTCCCCGGTCGGCGTTTTGGGCTTTCGGACGAGCTTTCTCCGAGGAGAATTTCGCCGCGAGCTTTTACATTTTTTATGGGTTTTTTTTAGAGGGGTGGTGGTTAGAGAGCGTTTACGCTGGAGGAAAAGGGAGTATTGTGGAATGTATAAGTTTGGTGCGGGATATCTCGAAAATTAGGCGATTTTTGGGAATTTTTTGTTCTGCGAAAATTGTAGAGAAATGTTTTTTCTACTAATTGAAGTCAATAGGGGGTTTTTATCTCGATTAGTTTTCGAGATATGCGTGTTTTTTTATTGAATTGTGATCAAATTTATAATTTTGAGGGATCCATAAAAAAATAGAAATATCTCGAAAATTAAGCGATTTTTGGGAATTTTTCGTTCTGCAAAAATTGTAGAGAAATGTTTTTTCTACTAGTTAAGGTAAATGGGGTGTTTCTATCTCGATTAGTTTGCGAGATAAGTGTGTTTTTTTATTAAATTGTGCTCAAATGGTTAGTTTTTGGGGAATCGATAAAAAAATTAAAATATCTCGAAAATTAAGCGATTTTTCGGAATTTTTCGTCCTGCAAAAATCGCAGAGAAGTGTTTTTTCTACTAACTGAAACAAACAACATGTTTCTATCTCAATTAGTTTTCGAAATAATCGCGATTCTTTATTGAATTGTACTCATCAAAACTCAAATATTTTAGAGGGTCCTTTTTTAAATAACTCCCTTTATTTTTCGAACCCCCTATATTACCAATTACCCACCAATAATCCCCGTTACACTCCGAACAGCCCTCCCGCTCTATATGAAAATGAAATCACCGCCGGTGCATTATATTTTAGAGAGAGCTCGCGAGAGATTTTCCCCGGTTATAATATCTCTATATCTCTATATCTCTATACCCAAATTGAGCGGCGCGCGGAAAATCGCCCGATGATTCGCGAAAACGGGCGCGAACTGATCGAAACGAGCCCTCGATTATATGTATACAGAATGTCCCAATTAAAATTACACAGGATTATCCGAATTAAGTGTTTGTCGTTGGTATAACTTTTATAATATTGAAATTACAACGCCGGTTAAATTAGTATTATTTTTTTTGGATAGATATTTTAATGGAACACCCTGTATATTCGTATTTTTGAAATCTACATAAAATTCTGAGTATTTTTCTAACTAAAAACTGTTTAAATTTTTTATTATTTCTTCAATTTTCAACCGCCAATATTTCGAAAACAGTTGCACATAAAGACCTAGGATATAGTACATAGCAAAATTCTATTTATTGACTCCCCCTGTATATAATTCCTTATAATTAATAAAGCAAAAAACGGGCGCGAACTGATCGAAACGAGCCCTCGATTATATGTATACAGAATGTCCCAATTAAAATTACACAGGATTATCCGAATTAAGTGTTTGTCGTTGGTATAACTTTTATAATATTGAAATTACAACGCCGGTTAAATTAGTATTATTTTTTTTGGATAGATATTTTAATGGAACACCCTGTATATTCGTACCTTTGAAATCTACATAAAATTCTGAGTATTTTTCTAACTAAGAACTGTTTAAGTTTTTTTATTATTTCTTCAATTTCCAACCGCCAATATTTCGAAAACAGTCGCACATAGAGGCCTAGGATAATTCTATTTATTGACTCCCCCTGTATAATTAATAAAGCAAAAAATTAGCCTTACTTCTGTGAGCCTTATCGGCGGGATCCCTCCTGAGCAGGACCCGTTTCTGCGCCGCGGCGGCCGTTCCCGAATCGACGTCGTGTATGACGATCCTGATCGCCTCGGCGTCGACCGATTGCTGGCGTCGCGGCGTCGCCTCCAGATCTTCGAGCGCCGGCGCCGGTCTCGGCACCATCGGACGCAGCCCGGCGATGTCCGGCCTGTATAAAAAACCGAACCACCATCACAAAAATATATACACAAAAAAAGTAGGAAGGTGTAGGAAGGAGTGACAAAGTGTAGGAAGGTGTAGGAAGGAGTAGGAAGGTGTAGGAAGGTGTAGGAAGGTGTAGGAAGGAGTAGGAAAGAGTGAGAAAGTGTAGGAAGGTGTAGGAAGGGGTATGAATGAGTAGGAATGAGTAGGAAGGTGTAGGAAGGTGTAGGAAGGTGTAGGAAGGTGTAGGAAGGTGTAGGAAGGAGTAGGAATGAGTAGGAAGGTGTAGGAAGGAGTAGGAATGAGTAGGAATGAGTAGGAAGGTGTAGGAAGGAGTGAGAAAGTGTAGGAAGGTGTAGGAAGGAGTGAGAAAGTGTAGGAAGGTGTAGGAAGGAGTAGGAATGAGTAGGAATGAGTAGGAAGGTGTAGGAAGGAGTGAGAAAGTGTAGGAAGGTGTAGGAAGGAGTGAGAAAGTGTAGGAAGGTGTAGGAAGGAGTAGGAATGAGTAGGAAGGTGTAGGAAGGTGTAGGAAGGAGTGAGAAAGTGTAGGAAGGTGTAGGAAGGAGTGAGAAAGTGTAGGAAGGTGTAGGAAGGAGTAGGAAGGTGTAGGAAGGAGTAGGAAGGTGTAGGAAGGAGTGAGAAAGTGTAGGAAGGTGTAGGAAGGAGTGAGAAAGTGTAGGAAGGTGTAGGAAGGAGTAGGAAGGTGTAGGAAGGAGTGAGAAAGTGTAGGAAGGTGTAGGAAGGAGTGAGAAAGTGTAGGAAGGAGTAGGAAGGAGTAGGAAAACCCTCGAAATATCAAACTATATACAGATTGTTAGATTTAGCGCGGAGCAAAAATTGAGAGAGAGAGACGGTGTAATAGAGCATATATTAGGAAAGCTGCAAACGACCTAAATTCAATTTTTAAATAAAAAACTGGGTGTTCCAATTAAAAAAGTATAAGTTTGATCTACTATAGAAAAACGGGACACTCTGTATAAATGTAATTAATTTTAAAATGTGCAGCTTAAAAAGATCTACAACTTTTCCAATGAAATTTTTTGATATCTTCTACAATAACAGATATATTGAGCTTTTCCATACTAATATGCCACCCTGTATATGTATGTAAGAAAGAGAGAATATTAGAAGAAGCCTCAACAAAAAGTTAGGCTCAAAAACAAGCGATTTTTAACTCATCTTATTAGATCCAACACTCTGTATATCTAACTCTATAATAACATTCTCTAATACCAATCACGAAATACATACAGATGGGATCCCCTGCGGCGCATCCTCCTGTCCTCTTCGGGGGCCACCAAAGTGGCCGGCGGTCCGTCGGGGCTGGGCGGGCTGCCCGGCTCCGGCGGGGCAATTCTGAAAGAGGCCCTTCTGCCGGCCACGGAGGCGGCGGCCGGGGCGGCGGTCACCGTGCTGAGGCCGGGCACCGAGAACACGTCGTAGGCGGATGCCCGGCGGGGCATCGGGGCCGGCAAGCCGAGCCCGTTGTCCTGGTTTGAGCCGGGAGCGAGCGGGTTCTTTACCTGAGGAAGCGGTCGAAAGATTGCTCTAATATAGAGGTTGTTTAGTTGAGAGGGAAGCTGTCGAGAGGGGCTTTCGTTGCTCTAATATAGAGGTTGTTTATTTGAGAGAAAAACTGCCGAGAGAGGCTATCGAGAGTAGTTCTCGCTACCTGTTCATTTGAGAGTTTTCCTGAGAGCAACTCTCGAGAATTACTCTAAGGTTTCTATCCATTTGAGAGCAAATTTGCGAATATTTACTCTGGACAATATTTACTCTGGATACTCAGGAAAACCCTCAAATGAACAGGTAGCATAAGAAATTTGCTAAAGTGCTAAAAATGCTCCAAATTGTTGTTCAAAAAAACTCTCAGCACAAACCTTCTAGACACCATTCTGAGAGTACTAATTTTATAAAACTTGTATCTCAAAAGTGAAGAAGTTTAGAACATTGGTTCATTACAGTTTTTTCCCTAAAATAAGTACAGGAATTATCCCTTTTGAAACCCTCTGTATACCAAAATATATACCGTTTGTCCGTGGAAATAATGCAAAATTTACAGGAAAAAAACCAACACATTTTTGTACAAAACTGCAATCTCCTTTCGATAAATAAAAATAAACCAAAAGATAAGTAGAAAGATTAAAACCACCCTCACACCGTGACATGTATTTTTCATCATTCGGAACCGTCTAGAACCGTCTAGAACCGTTTAGAACTGTCTAGAATCGCTAAGAACTGAGGGTTAAATTCGCTCACCTCGTCGTCATAGCTGTGCTGGCGGGCCACCCTGGAGGGGCGGCGGGGGCGCGGCGCCGCCGCCGGTGGGGCGTCGCGAGGGGGGCTGTTTTGACGGCTGGAGGCCGCGCTGCGTCCGCATCGGTTCCGCGACCAGTCCGGGTCGGGCGTCTTGGCGCCGGCGCCTTTTAACTGTGTGCAAAATAATATAGAACAGTGTGAAGTGGATTTTTTTAGGTGGAAATATTTCGGAAATTGAGCGATTTTTGGGAATTTTTTGTTCTTGTAAAGTTATGGAGGAATGTTTTTTCTACTGATTGAAGTAAATTGGGGGGTTTTATCTCGATTGGTTTTCGAGATATGCGTGGTTTTTTATTGAATTGTGTTCAAGTGGATAGTTTTTGGGGAATCCATAAAATAGTTTGCAATATCTCGAAAATTAAGCAATTTTTCGAAATTTTTTGTTCTGCAGAAGTTGTAGAAAAATGTTTTTTCTACTAAATAAAATAAGTAGGGCGTTTTTATTCCGATTAGTTTTCGAGATAAGTGTGTTTTTTTATTGAATTGTGTTCAAATGGACAGTTCTTGGGGAATCCATAAAAAAAATAAAAATATTTCGAAAATTAAGCTTTTTTACGAAATTTTTTGTTGTATAAAAATTGTAGAGAAATGTTTTTTCTACTAATTGACACAAACGGGATGTTTCTATCTCAATTAGTTTTCGAGATAATTGTGTTTTTTTATTGAATTGCGCTCAAATTTACAACTTTTGAGGAACGCTTAAAAAATATAAAGTATCTCGAAAAATAAGAGCTCAACAAAAATTTTGTATCTTTTAAAAATTGTAGAGCAACGTTTTTTCTACTAGATAAAATAAACATAACGTCTCTATCTCAATTAGTTTTCGAGATAATTGTGTTTTTTATTAAATGGATTAAAAGGATTTTTAAGGGGGAATCTACGAAGAGTGTGTCGAGTGAGGGCGATTTATTAAAAAGAATAAAAAGGAGCCGAGAGATGAAAAAAGGGCCAGCAGATGATGGAAATAAAGCGTTCGGTATCAAATTAAAAATTTAAAAATCCTTTAATAAATTTAATCTACATCTACAGGTATATTTTTTCGTTTATATGAACTTTTAAGTCATTAAATAAGCCAAAGAACCACCTCATTTCTAATGTGCACGATGTATAAGAAACACCCTGTATACAGGGTGGTCCACTTACCAATTACAGCTATATAAAAATATAAATACGAGGTAAGTTAGAGATATAGAAGAAATAAAAAGTAGAAGAAATAATTATCAGGTATATAGAGAATCCCGGTAAAAAAAAAAACCATCACCTACTTTTTCGAGTTCCTTGAGCGAAGCCGGAGACACGTCCGAATGCCGCCTCAACTCCGGACTGCGGGGCGGCGCCAGCCCGCTCCCCAGGCCTCCTAGGCCGAGGCCGCCCCCGCCGATGCCGCCGCCGCCGCCGCCCGCCGCCGGTCGAGCCCAACCTGGCCTCCGAATGCCGGCGTTGCAGCTCTTGTATTGGAATTTCTAATAAACTCTCGTTCGAGTCCTGGGCCATCGCGGCTCTCGATTGGAGTTTCCTGCAACGGGGAGAATATAAAATAATTGTTGGCGTTGTTAAAGGGATGTACGGGGTGTTGATTAATTGAATGACGATGTGAATATTTTGATGGTTTTGGGAAGAAATGTTTATAAGAATGTATGTCCTAAATGTGTTAGTTTTAGAGCTACAGGGTGTTAGAATTTCTGTCTGTAATTATTTAGAACGCTTGAGAATTGTTTAGAACTCGTTAAGAACTATAAATCTTTGGGAAAGTCATGAAAAGGGACAAGTTGTAGCCAAGGTGTGTTCATTTGAAATCAGCTGGTTTTTCAATTTTTGAGGATTTTTTGAAATTTTGATCACCTTTTTTTGAGGAATTTTGGGTGGAGTTTTGATGGATTTTTCGTCGATTTTTAGGTGATTTTTTGGTGTTTTTTGAAGGTTTATTGGTTGGGTCTTTTTGAGGGTCTTTTCGTCCATTTTTGGGTGACTTTTTTAGTTAAATTCGATAGATTTTTGGTTTTTTTTTTGTCGAAGTACTTGAAATATTTATGATTTTTGCAATTTTTCAACGATTTTTGAAATTTTGACGATTTTTGCAAACATTTCAAATGTTCATGATTCAAATTTTTAACAATATATTTATGACAAAATCTAAAATTTACCTCCTGCAAACGCTACAAGTCCAATGATGATTTTTTTTTCAATTTCTGAGGATTCTTGAAGTTTTAATCTCTTTGTTTTTTAGGATTTTTTTGTTGAGTTTTCATGCATTTTTCGTCGATTTTTAGGTGATTTTTTTAATTAAATTGGATGGATTTTTTGTTTTTGTTGGTCGAAGTACTTGAGGTTTTTTTAAATATTTATGATTTTTGCAATTTTTCAACGATTTTTGAAACTTTCACGATTCAATTTTTAACGAAATATTTATAACAAAATCCAAAATTTACCTCCTGCAAACGCTACAAATCCAATGATGATTTTTTTTTTCAATTTCTGAGGATTCTTGAAGTTTTAATCTCCTTTTTTTGAGGATTTTTGGGTTGAGTTTTCATGAATTTTTCGTCGATTTTTAGGTGATTTTTTTGTTGTTTTTTGAAAGTTTTTTGGTTGAGTCTTTATGAGGATCTTTTTGTCCATTTTAGGTGATTTTTTTAGTTAAATTGAAATTGAAATTGAAATATTTACGAATCTTGCAACTTTTCAACGATTTTTGCAAATTTTTAACGATTTTTGAAATTTTCACGATTCAATTTATAACGATATATTTATGCCAAAATCTAGAACTTACCTCCTGCAAACGCTACAAGTCCAATGATGATTTTTTTTTTCAATTTCTGAGGATTCTTGAAGTTTTAATCTCCTTTTTTTGAGGATTTTTGGGTTGAGTTTTCATGGATTTTTCGTCGATTTTTAGGTGATTTTTTTTTGTTGTTTTTTGAAAGTTTTTTGGTTGGCTCTTTATGAGTGTCTTTTTGTCCATTTTAGGTGATTTTTTTAGTTAAATTGAAATTGAAATTGAAATATTTACGAATCTTGCAACTTTTCAACGATTTTTGCAAATTTTTAACGATTTTTGAAACTTCCACGATTCAATTTATAACGATATATTTATGCCAAAATCCAAAATTGCTAATCCTGCAAACGCTACAAGTCCAATGATGATTTTTTTTCAATTTCTGAGGATTCTTGAAGTTTTAATCTCTTTTTTTTTAGGATTTTTTTGTTGAGTTTTCATGGATTTTTCGTCGATTTTTAGGTGATTTTTTTAATTAAATTGGATGGATTTTTTGTTTTTGTTGGTCGAAGTACTTGAGTTTTTTTTAAATATTTATGATTTTTTGCAATTTTTCAACGATTTTTGAAACTTTCACGATTCAATTTTTAACGAAATATTTATAACAAAATCCAAAATTTACCTCCTGCAAACGCTACAAATCCAATGATGATTTTTTTTTCAATTTCTGAGGATTCTTGAAGTTTTAATCTCCTTTTTTTGAGGATTTTTGGGTTGAGTTTTCATGAATTTTTCGTCGATTTTTAGGTGATTTTTTTGTTGTTTTTTGAAAGTTTTTGGTTGAGTCTTTATGAGGGGTCTTTTTGTCCATTTTAGGTGATTTTTTTGGTTAAATTGGATGGATTTTTGGTTTTTGTTGGTCAAAGTACTTGAGCTTTTTTGAAATATTTACGATTCTTGCAATTTTTCAACGATTTTTTCAAATTTTTAACGATTTTTGAAACTTCCACGATTCAATTTATAACGATATATTTATGCCAAAATCCAGAACTTACCTCCTGCAAACGCTACAAGTCCAATCGGCAGGATCCTCGTCCTCCTTCAATTTGCTATAACTGGCGCAATCCTCGCACACCCTTTGATGACATTCGGCGCATGTCCTGCTGAAATCGTCCTGCTTGAAAGCCTTCAGGCACACCCGACAGGCGCCCGCCCTGCTCGGCGGCTTTCCCGGCTCCGATTTCGGCGCCGCCTCCGCCGCCTTCTCTTCGAAAGGGCCCCCGCCCCCGCCCCCGGCGGCGGTTCCGCCACCTCCACCGGCACCAGCGAAGGTCGCGGCGCCATCTTTTGGACTGGAAAAATGTGCCAATTGACTGTACTATATTTCCAAAATATTTGTTAAAATTTCGAAAATTTTATTGTCTAAAGGTAGCTTTTTAAAGGGTCTTAGTGGGTAGCTTCAATAGGTTGAATTTTGAGGAAATTTTCGATTTTTTACCATTTTTTTTGCTAATAATTCCGAAAAATGTTTCATAGAAAACTTCCTCAGGTATTTTAATGCAAGGATTCCGAATCTTCGATACAAAAAAATAGTAATTTCCATTTAAATTTGCCAGAAAATCGACCGTTTCTTTTGGATTGGAAAAATACCAATGGATTATACTCTATTTTTAAAATAGTTGCTAAAATTTCGAAAATTTTATTGTCTAAAAGTCGTGAATTTAGTGGGTAGCTTCAATAAATTAAATTTTGAGGAAATTTTCGATTTTTTACCCATTTTTTTGCTAATAATTCCGAAAAATGTTTCATAGAAAACTTCCTCAGGTATTTTAATGCAAGGATTCCGAATCTTCGATACAAAAAAATAGTGATTTTTCATTTAAATTTGCCAGAAAATCGACCGTTTCTTTTGAACTGGAAAAACATCAAAGTACTATACTCTATTTCCAAAATAGTTACTAAAATTTAGAAAATTTTATTGTCTCGAGGTGGTGAATTTAGTGGGTAGCTTCAATGAATTGAATTTTGAGGACATTTTCGAATTTTTAGCATTTTTTTCGCTAATAATTTCGAAAAATGCAAGGATTCCGAATCTTCAATGAAAAAATTGGGATTTCCATGTAAATTTGCTAGAAAATCGACCGTTTCTTTTGGACTGGAAAAACATCAAAGTACTATACTCTATTTCCAAAATATACTGCTCCACAAAAGTTAAGGAAGTTCGAAAATTTTGCAATTATTTTAAAATTTAGAGACTTTTTGATCACCAAAATTTCAAATATCCGAAAATAAATGTTTTCTCTTATATCTGAGTGGATTTTTTTGTCCCTTCCTTCTACAATTCATACTAAATTTGGCGATTAAAGAACCTGCAACTTTTAAATTAATCTCAATATTTGTGAACTTCCTTAACTTTTATTGAGCAGTATAGTTACTAAAATTTCGAAAATTTTATTGTCTCTAGATCGTGAATTTAGTGGGTAGCTTCAATGAATTGAATTTTGAGGAAATTTTCGAATTTTTACCATTTTTTTGCTAATTATAATAAAAAATGTTCTTGCTTAGGTATTTTAATGCCAGGATTCTGAATCTTCAATACAAAAAAATAGTGATTTTTCATTTAAATTTGCCAGAAAATCCACCGTTTCTTTTGGACTGGAAAAACATCAAAGTACTATACTCTATTTCCAAAATAGTTACTAAAATTTCGAAAATTTTATTACCTCTAAATCGTAAATTTAGTGGGTAGCTTCAATAAATTAAATTTTGAGGAAATTTTCGATTTTTTTACCATTTTTTTTGCTAATAATTTCGAAAAATATTTCAGACAAAATTTCCTCAGGTATTTTAATGCCAGGATTCCGAATCTTCAATACAAAAAAATAGCGATTTCCATTTAAATTTACCAGAAAATCTACAATTTCCATATACTTTTCGAACATACCCCGTATAGAGAAATAACATTGTGTGGATTTTTATTTTTACCTTTGTCTTGTGCGGTGAGCAGTGACGATGAGATGGTTTGTTTTAATTTGCCAAAAGTGGTTCCTCCATCGGGCGATTCGTTGGCATTGTTTCCAGCTCCGGGCTCGGTCGTTACTCCAATCTGGAAACCAACCGGGACAAATTAAAAAAAAATATATATTTTTCAAACAGGACGATTTTAAAAAGAATAATATCTTTTACGGGGGCCGCTCGAAAATTATGATTCCAGCTCGCCCGGGAATTAATTATTCGACTGCATTTTGTACTCTCGAATGTTGACAAGTACACGTTTCAGTTCAAGCTGGATAATATACAGGGTGTTCCATAATGACTGTCTTTTTAACAAAAGACATTTCAAATAATAAATAGCCAGTGATGGCATTTCAACTTCATATATATAAATATGCAAAACATTTTTCGAGTGTTTGTAGGAGTGTATAAAATTCTAAAATTTATTATGTATTCCGAAGGAAACGAGCAGACCGCTTATTCAAATATCTCTTCGTTTCGTTTAAATCCATCAAAGTCGAATTAATTACACAATTTTATATAATTGAAACGTTTCGAAATCCGATTTGAAAGTCAAAAACTCGGCTCCCTTTTCGCCCTTTCGAAGTTTCTTCGCAGAAAATCCGATCTAATTAGTCGAATACGATCCTGTGTGAAGGATCCGAGATGAGGAGGAAAGAAAAAAAAATGGTCTCTAATGGTATAACTAAAGTCTTCTGACGTTCGAGGATTTACAATGCTGATCCCTCAGAAATGACAAAATATGGGAGAAGTCCGTTATGAAAGGAACATGAGAGAGGATACGCGATATGTATGTAATAATACTATACAGGGTGTCCCAAAATTCACGCCCGTCCTTTCAGAATATGATTCAGCGGGCTAAAACAAATTAAATTGTAAGAATAAAATTTTTTCGTTTTGTCCTTGATAACCGAGTTATTGATAAAAATTTTTTAAATTCAACTAAAACTTTAATTAAAACAAAGTAACAAAGAAACATTATTAAACATAAGAACATAAAAAACATAAAAACGAATAATTTATAAAAGGTGTTCAAACAAATCGCCGCCTACTTCAATGCAAACATTCGCACGATTAATAATTGAATCACAAAAAATTTAAAATTTTTTTTTTTTTTGGGAAAAATTTTATTCTTAAAATTTAATTTGTTTTAGCCCGCTGAATCATATTCTGAAAGGACGGGCGTGAATTTTGGGACACCCTGTATATGAGATATGAGATATATATATCGTATTACAGAAGGGAATCTTATAGATAACTCCCGGGTTAAGTTCGTATATATCCCATCTTTCGGTATAACCTAAATGGTTATTTATTGTTTCCATACGACGCGACGCGTCGCGACGTCCGAGATATTTTTATATTAAATTCTTACTATGAGGTACCTAGTACATAATATTACATATAAGAAATTCAAATAGATATTGGACCGATATTGCAAAATAAGGTACTATTTTTTTTTTAATCGAAGTTTATTTTTTTAATGGATTTTTAATATGGATGTCACATTGAATATATCTGAATACGGTCCTGTTGTGGTACATTAATCTTCTTATTAAGTCGTAATGTTTAGTTCGAGAGAGTTCTAACGGTTTCTGGAGCGTTCTGAATGGTTCTGAAGCGTTCTAAATAATAATTATAGAGCGTTCTGAATGGTTTTAGATAGTCCCAAATGATTTTGGAACATTCTAAATGATTCTAGATATTTCTAAATGATACTTGACACTGTCTTAGATAGTTCTAAACGATTTTGAAACATTCTAAATGGTTCTGAGGCGTTCTAAATGATTCTAGATACTTCAAAAATGATTTCTGGAGCATTCTAAATGGTAATAGGCGGTTCTAAATAGTTCTGAAGCGTTTATAACGGAGGAATAACACAAAACTATTCGTAAACTTAAGAAGAAAAACAGGACAAAGGGAAAAAACACTGTGAATTTTTGTGTAAAACGCTCCAGAACCATTTAGAACCGTCTAGAGCCATTAAGAACTCTCCAGAATCATTTAGAAAGCTCCAGAACCATTTAGAACTCTTCAAAAAATCATTAAAAACTAACCATCTAGAATTATTTAGAACTAGAACGCTCTAGAATCATTTAGAACCGTCCTATAACCATTTAGAACGCTCCAGAAAAAGACAAAAAAAACCGCTGGGAATATCACAAAAACAACAGATCGTAGTCAAAATCTGGTGACCTTGAAGGCCAAATATGACGCAATGAATCACCCTGTATATGCAAATGGGCAATACTTTTCATTAGGACACCCTGTATATAAAAAATGCCAGCCGGGAATCGAATGGGGATGAGGAAATCGCGAGAAAATATAATCTGTCAACTGCGCGCTATAAATAAGCCGGAAAACGCGATGGAAAATTGTGGAAAACGCGATGGAAAAGTCTCACTTACCTTTTTCATAACGTTCATGAAATTCGAAGGGAACATCTTCTTCGTTTCTCGGATTGTCTCTGGTTAGTGTCTTAAAGAAGTTAGAGGCTCGTTTGAGGCGGTTTCGTTTCGTCGATTGATGAGCGGTTGATGAGCCATATTATTTAACTGAAACAAACAGAAAAATACGAAAATATTTATTATCTAGTTTCGATTAGAAATTAATTAATATGATAGTATTAGGTATCTCACATAAGGGAGCTATACTTTTCATTGGGACACCCCGTATATAACAGAGTCGTTATTAACAACAAACTTAATCCCATCCGACCACCATATTAGCAGGATCCGAGTCCTATCGATCGTCCCTCTTCCCGAATCAACGCACTCTACGATATTCCACCAGGCTAATTATTTAATTCGAGGTCAGGTAGGCGTCGAGTCCGAAACGATTAGTTTCGGCGTCCCGACGCCTGATTAAGAGGCCCCGCGTCGAATAATTTCGGGATTAATTATTTCCTTTATTTATCGCATTTAGAAATTGCCTGAATACGGCCCTGTCGTTTGAGTGTTCTCTGTCGAAATCGACAGAGGTGTATTGGGGAAATTTATTTTCTATTCCATATTAAAGCCACCTGTACGAGGGTGAAAAGTTATCGACTTGAATTATTTAGAACTGGCTAGAACACTTTTAGAACGCTATAGAATCATATGATTAGAGAAATCTAGAGCACTCCAAAATCATTTAGAACAAACTAGAATCAATTTGGAACGCTCCAGAATCATTTGGAACTGTCTAGAACCACTTAGAATGCTCTGGAATCATTTAGAACTGTCTAAAACCATTTAAAACGCTTTAGAACCATTTAGAACTCTCTAGAATCATTTTGAACTGTCTATAACCATTTAAAACGCTTCAGAACCATTTAGAACGCCGCTTCAAAGCCCTTTAGAACGCTTCAGAACTATTCTGAACCATTTGGAACGCATCAGAACCATTTAGAACTCTCTAGAATCATTTTGAACTGTCTATAACCATTTAAAACGCTTCAGAACCATTTAGAACGCCGCTTCAAAGCCCTTTAGAACGCTTCAGAACTATTCTGAACCATTTGGAACGCATCAGAACCATTTAGAACTCTCTAGAATCATCTTGAACGCTCGAGAAATTGGCGGTCTTTAGTTGTCAGGCAAAGAACTTTTCACCTTACCCTCGTATAGTTTGTTTCGAACGTTGCGCTGTTGCCGATAGCGTTTTTTTATCAACGAAAATCGGATTAAATGAGGCGGCTTTAAATGGGCAAAAAAAAAGGGTTCATTCGAATAGTATCTAATGCAATTCGGGATGCATCGGTGACGAGTCAACGACCGATTATTAACGATCCGGAGACTTCTCCGATCGATTGAATCGCTTTAGCTGGTATTCAATGAGAAAGTTTTATATGGAGAGCAGAGGAGATTAAGTGGAAAATGTGGTATTTTTTTAAGCAGAAAACAAACTGGATAGACCATTGAGAAAGATTTTCTAGTTCCAAATTGTAGATGAGAAGAGGATTCTAAATTTAAGGGAGAGGAGAAGTGTTTGAATAGCAAATGTGGCATTTTCATATACAAAAACAAACTGGATTAATCAATGAGGAAGTTTTTCTAGTTTCAAATTTTATGGATACTAGAGAATATTAGACATTTTTGCTACAAAACATAATCTGGATCAACCAATATGAGATATACAGACAGTCTTTCCAGATCCAATCACTGCAAAGCAACCAAGCGTATGTAGATATATCCATTTGAAAAATGCGAAATTTGAGAAAGAACAGCGTCCAGAATTTTCCTGGATGCTCGGGCATCGTGCCAAAGCCGAGCCAGGCACGTGCCGTTCGCGCGCTTTGCCAGTTTTGCCAGTTTTACCGCCTGTTGCCGCTTTTATCGCTCGACATTATCAATCAAAACGTCGACGGGAACCCCCCGTTTTGTAAATAAATAGTTCGCGTGCTGGATTCGATAACTCCGCTAATTATTTATCGCTTTTTTTTTGTTTTGTTTTCGTCCAGATTTAGATCTGGAAACGACGCTCTTTCGTGCGGTAAGAATGCGTTTCTTTCCAGTCGATTCTTCTCCGGTTTTATCGATGAAATCGTATCCGGTTGATTGCTAGTCAATAAATTTCAATCCACCATTTCGGGTTACATTTCTCTGGATAGAAGTGAAACTGAAGAAAGTGTATACAGGGTGTTAGTTAATCGAGTGGCGATAATTCAGGATGTGAAGAATATTTGGGTGATTTTAAGGAGAAAACTTTATATCAATATACAGGGTGTTCGCGAACTTATGGCACTAAATTCTGTAGGTGGTAGTTTGCATAATTTGTTCTTAGTTTCTAAGATACAGGGTGATACAGTAAACATTGTTTCAAGAATCATCCCCTTAAATATATCAGCATGTTATTAAAAGACACCCTGTATAATTTTCCGCGAACTGTTAACTGCGTATATAAAATCGTCATTTTAGCGTTGGAATTTTTTTAATTAATTAGAACGACACGAACTCTGTCGAGAATTTTCCGAGACTTCTGGAAAGTCACCTGAAGCCTAATTTATCAACGAACTGTAAATACCTCCTCCCCTATTTAAAACCTTAATTGCCTAAAACATTTTCGGCATTAATTACAGGCCCGGATTATCCGAAAATTAATCGATTTCGCGACGGACTCGCCTCGTTAACCCCCCGAGAAAAATCGTTTTATTTTTATTTTACAACAGTTATTTATCTTCCAGGCTTTATCTACAACTACGATGTAGTGCATAACTTATTCCTGGATACTTTCCATATTATTTTATTGAAAATATATCCAAAAAAAATCAATACAAATACGAGCATACGAGGGGATCGAAGCGAGTTGAGGAAAATTGTTTAATGCGTTCTTAATGATACTAGACAGTTCTAAACGATTCTGGAGCATTCTAAAAAATTATGGAGCACTCTAAATGGTTCTATAGAGAGTTCTAAATGGTCCTGGAACGTCCGATGGAGCGTTATAAATGATTCTGGTGCGTTCTGAATGATTCTGGAGCGTTCTTTTAATGGTTGTAAAGCGTTTTAGATTGTTCTAGATAGTTCTAAATGATTATGGAGCGTTCTAAATGGTTCTAGACGGTTCTAAATGATTCTGCAGCGTTCTAGACAGTTTCAGACAGTTCTAAATGATTCAACACAGTTCTAGAATTATCTCGAGCGTTCTAAATGATTCTAAATAGTTTTAGAAGATTCTAGGCGTTGTGGATTCATCTAGACAGTTCTAAATGATTCTGGAGCATTCTAAAAAATTATGGAGCACTCTAAATGGTTCTATAGAGAGTTCTAAATGGTCCTGGAACGTCCGATGGAGCGTTATAAATGATTCTGGTGCGTTCTTTTAATGGTTGTAAAGCGTTTTAGATTGTTCTAGATAGTTCTAAATGATTATGGAGCGTTCTAAATGGTTCTAGACGGTTCTAAATGATTCTGCAGCGTTCTAGACAGTTTCAGACAGTTCTAAATGATTCAAGACAGTTCTAGAATTATCTCGAGCGTTCTAAATGATTCTAAATAGTTTTAGAAGATTCTAGGCGTTGTGGATTCATCTAGACAGTTCTAAACGATTCTGGAGCGTTCTAGATTGTCCCAAACGAATCAGACCGGAAACTTTTAACCGACTACAACCTGGGAAACTGGATAGCTGGATACCCAATAATTATGTACAAGTTTTCGTTGGATAATTCATAGGAAAATCAACTCTAACTGGCACCCATCACTTCAAACAATAACCCCTCCTCCCTCCCTCTTTAAATATTAACCCCCCCGTCGGATTCTCTCTCGGATAGGTCCCTTCTCGTGTCGTATAATACGAAGGTTGCTCGCAAATAGGTTACCGAATTAGGTTAAGGTTGATGTATTCATCGCACGTGTTCGATATGTACTCGTTGATTTTTTTATTATTCATGGTAATGCATTAAATAAAATAACAAAAAAATGTTACTTTAGGGGTGTACGAGGGTAAGGTGAATAGTTTTCGACCGGCTGAGAAGGGAAGAGATCGCGATTTTCAGTTGAAAATGTTCTCGCATTATTCTTCCAATTAAGTCGAAATATTTAGTTCCAGATAGTTCTAGATGGTTCTAAATTGTTTTGGATGGTTCAGGATTGTTGTAGATAGTTCTAAATGAGTATGGAGCGTTCAAAATGATTCTAGACAGTTCTAAATAATTCTGGAGCGTTCTAAATGACTCAAAAGCGTTCTAGATTGTTGTAGATGTAGTTCTAAGTAACTATTGAGCGTTTTAAATGGTTATAGACAATTTTAAATGATTCTGGAGCGCTCGTAATGGTTCTTAGACAGTTCTAATTGATTAGGGAGCGTTCTAAATAGTTTCAGACAGTTTTTAATGATTCTGTAGCGTTTTAAAATGGTTCTGAAGCGTTCTAAATGTTTCTAAGCAGGTCTAAACGATTCGGGAACTTTTCACCCTACCCTCGTAATTCGTGATTCGAAAGCGGCATTGCTAGAAATTTTATTAGCGAGTTCAGGATTTAGGGATGATTTGTTTTTTGATCGATTTATTCGGGGGGTTTTGAAAGTAGTTTATTTAGTGATTTGTCGGTTTATTTGGGGTATTGAGGGTGTATTAAATCGTAGAAAATTGATGCAAGAAATGCTCTTATAACATCACTGAGTAGTGATTAACTAATAGAGCTCGAATTGGAATATATACGAGGGGAATCGGAGCGAAATTGTTCGATCAAAACCTGGTGCAGTTTATACTCCACTATTGCGATAAATATAACAACAATTTCCAGGTGAAAAACAGCAGGATAAAAAGTTATAAAAAACACGAAAATACCTGTCAGTCCTGCGACGACGAGCAAACTACACAAAAAAAAAAAAAATGGCAACCTGTGGCAGATGAGAAAACCTCTCCGTGTTCAACTGAGAAATGATCAAATTTCTATCTCTTTCACCCAAGGAAGGATCGAATCTCTTCACTCAAGGAGCGATCGAATCTCCTCTCACGATTGGAAATCCCTTCACTCGAGGAAGGATCGAATATCTCAATTCACCTGAGGAAGGATCGAATCCCTTAATTCACCTGAGGAGGGAAATCTCTTCACTCAAGGAAGGATCGAATCTCCTCACCCGATTGGAAATCCCTTCACTCGAGGAAGGATCGAATCTCTCAATTCACCCGAGGAAGGATCGAATCTCCTCTCACCGGAGGACCTTTCCCGGCCCGCCCAGGCCCCCGTCTAGGTCGCTGGGCCGCCTCCTTCGCGGCGGTTTTCCCGGAAAAACGAACCGAAAACCACGGAAAAAACAACTCTTTCTCGCTGCTCTCTGCTGGAGCAAGCGGCCCGGAGCTGGCAGAGCAAGAGACTCCGGAGTTCCGGAGTAACAAGTAGTAGGCAGACGGCGGTGACCGGGAAAAGTGCGCGCGCACGTCGCTCGGTCGGGGCCCGCTCGCGCCCCTTAACCCCCCCCTCACCGCCTCCCTCGATATATATCCAGGAGACGCGGCGTTGGACGAAATGGAGGTTGGGTAGATGTATAAATCCCGTACGGGGGTGAAGTGAAAAGTTGTCGGTGTGATGATGAGTGTGAGAGAGAGAGCGATTTTCGATTGGAAAATAAATTACGGTCGGAATGTTTGGTTCGAAATGGTTTTGGGGCGTTTTGTACGATTCTAGATGGTTCTAAATGATTCTGGAGTGGTTTATAATAGGTTCTAGACAGTTCCATGTGATCCTGGAACGTTTTGAATGACTATGGAGCGTTATAAATGCGTTCTAAATGAGTATGGAAAGTTGTAAATGATTCTAGAGCGTTATAAATGGTTATGGATAGTTTTAAATGCTTTTGGAGCGTTCTAAATAGTTAGAAACAAGTTATTCGAATGCCTCTGGAGCATTTTAAATGACTATGGAGCGTTCTAAATGGTTCCGAAGCGTTTTGAATGGCTATAGACAGTTATACAAATGATTCTGTAGCATTAAAAATGATTCTAGAGAGTTCTAAATGAATCTGGAACATTCTAAATGACTATGAAGCGTTATAAATGACTATAGAACGTTCTAAATGGTTCTAAATAGTTCTGGTACCATTCTAAATGATTCTAGGCAGTTTTAAATGATTCTGGAGCGTTCTGGAGCTGGTTCTAGGCAATTCTAAATGACTATGGATGGTTCTAAATGATTTTTAGAGCGTTCTAAATGGTTATGGACAGTTTTAAATGCTTTTGGAGCTTTCTAAATAGTTACAGACAAGTTATTTGAATGCTTCTGGAGAATTTTAAACGACTATGGAGCGTTCTAAATGGTTCCGAAGCGTTTTGAATGGTTATAGGCAGTTACAAATGATTCTGGAGCATTAAAAATGATTCTAGAGAGTTATAAATGATTCTGGAACATTCTAAATGACTATGAACCGTTGTAAATGACTCTGGAGCGTTCTAAATGGTTCTAAATAATTCTAGGACCATTCTAAATGGTTCTAGACAGTTTTAAATGATTCTGGAGCGTTCTAAATGGTTCCGAAGCGTTTTGAATGGTTATAGACAGTTATACAAATGATTCTGTAGCATTAAAAATGATTCTAGAGATTTCTAAATGAATCTGGAACATTCTAAATGACTATGAAGCGTTATAAATTTACTCTGGAGCGTTCTAAATGGTTCTAAATAATTCTGGTACCATTCTAAATGATTCTAGACAGTTTTAAATGATTCTAGAGCGTTCTGGAGCTGGTTCTAGGCAATTCTAAATGACTATGGAGGGTTCTAAATGATTTTTAGAGCGTTCAGGATTGTTCTAAACAGTTCTGAATGATTTAGTTCGTGAACAAATCAGCGTACCCTCGTAAAATACACTTGTTACTTCGTTCATTCCCGCCCGTCCTGAACCCTAAACGGGTATATAACGTGTATAGGTACGAGGAATTCGAATATAGGTCGATTTCCGCGGAATGCGATTCGCCTTCTACGTTTTAATATCGCTTCTCTTTATTTTTCTCTTCCTTTCTCTCTTATCTCTCTTATCCGTCTTCTTTCATTCGTTTATCTCCTATATGCGTTGAAGCGGCGATATTTTTTTATTGCACTCGGGGTAGATTTATAGTCTTTCTAAATAGTCAATTCGATATGTTGTAAATAACATTCTTTATTTTATTGTGGTATTATGAAGTGCCAAATTAACTCCACTCTTTGCTTTGGTTTATTCATCTTTTACAGTTATTTTTTTCTATTACTTTCTAGTACAAGAGTTTTGTTCTACTAAATAGGTGTAGGGTAAATGAAACCAAGTCGAATATTTTTACAAAAAACTGTAATTGGCTTTCGAATTCCAAATCATCAACACAAATTGGAATACATTTGTACTTAGAAAACTAGGAAAACAATAAAAAAAAAATCGGAAATTACAAAAAAGGAAAACACCGAAAACTCCTCAATTAATTCCTTTACTCTAAATTTATTATCTCGTCAACGTGCATGTATTTAATATTTAGCAGTTAAATTTTATACAGTGTGTCCCAAAAAGTCCTGTATACTATAAATAAGTTCATTCTTTACTATTATATTCTATATTTGCGATAATTTTTCAAATTTTTGACGATTTTTCCAATTTTTATTCATTGGGACACCCTGTATTCTCGACATGCGATAAAAACAATCAGTCTTATATTAAATACACGCAAATATTCCACGCACGGTTTCGGTGACGTCTCATACATTTCTCCAAAACGAATAGGAAAAAAAAATATCTCATCGAAATCCGTCCCAAAAAATATTCATACAGGGTGTCCCACGAACGAGTTAACAATAAACAGCTTGCTATAACACAACATCACTCTTTCCTTTTCTTTTACAAGTGTCCGAATGAAAGTTGTCTTTGCAAACTAAAAACGAATCAACCTGTATACAGATACTTTTACACTTGTATAACTCGCCAGCGGGACACCCTGTATATAAACAATAAAATACCAATACAGCGTTTCACTTCAACAAAATAACTAAAATATATATCTCAACAAATTTCACTAGCATTAATATCGTAATAGTCCAATTTACATATACAAAGTTCGTTTCTTTATCTTCTTCTTCTTCATCTTTTTTTCTTTATACACTGAGCGTAACTGTTATTTATATATGGCTAAAATCAGCACCTCTATACTCCCGTTCCAAAATAACCGACAGTGACTCATCGCTCATTTTTTATTTTAAATAATAGTACAGGAGCAATCTCACTATAGCCCCCCCGAGAGCACATTTATACACCTTGCTCCTGCACTATTTTTTTCGTACAATCGAAAAATGGGTCTTTAGAACGCTCCAAAATCGTTTAGAATTGTCTAAAACCCGTTTAGAATGCTTCAGAACCATTTAGAACGGTCCAGAACTATTTCGAGCTGTTTAGAACGTTCCAAAACCTTTCAAAACCTGTCTACAACCAATTAGAACGTTCCGGAGGCGTTTAAAACTAACCAGGATCGTTTGTAGAATTCTCTATAATCTCAGAAGCATTCAAAATCTGTCTAAAATCATTTAGAACGCTCCAGAAGCATTAAAATTTGTACAGAACTATTTAGAACGCTCCGGAAGCATTTAAATCTATCCAGAACCATTTAGAACGCTCTATATAGTCATTCAGAGCGCTCCAGAAGCATTCAAAACCTGTTCAGAACCAATTACAACGCTCCAGAAGCATTTAAATCTATCCAGAACCATTTAGAACGCTCTATATAGTCATTTAGAGCGCTCCAAAAGTATTCAAAACCCGTCTAAAACCATTTAGAATACTCCAAAGGCATTTAAAACAGTCCAGCAACATTCAGAACGCTTTAAAACCATTTAGAACGCTCCATAGTCATTTAAATTTGCTCCAGAAGCATTCAAAACGAATCCATAACCATTCAGAACGCTCCAGAACCATTAAGAACGCTCCATTGTCATTCAGAGCACTCCAGAACTATTCAAAACCTGTCTAAAACCATTTAGAATGCTCCAAAAGCATTTAAAACAGTCCAGCAGCATTCAGAACGCTTTAAAACCATTTAGAACGCTCCATAGTCATTTAAATTTGCTCCAGAAGCATTCAAAACGAATCCATAACCATTCAGAACGCTCCAGAACCATTAAGAACGCTCCAGAACCGTTCAGAACGCTTCATAAGTCACCTGTCAGTTATTTTAGAACCGACGTATAGCATAGATGGATCGAACGAGCGAGTGATACTGGGGGGGACGGGCGCACTCTTATCGTTGTTGGGCCATCGGTTGGGGGGAGCGGCGCGGCGCCTGCGCCGTATGCGAATTTCCGGGGATTCCCGTCGGATTCGTCGAAGATCCGCCGCTTCCGTTTCCCGCCGAAAGCTTCGAGAAAGCCAGAAGGGTGTCGGGGAAATTGGGCGGCGTCGCCGGCGTGTTGCAGGGCGTCATCACCTGCGAAACGTTTAATTAATTAATTGATTAATTGATTAAGTCGTTGGTGAAATTTTTAATTTTCTCCGGTTCCTATTAACGCCGCAATTCATTTATAAAGTTTGAAATACTGATGAAAGAACTAACAGACTGGTAATCCTAATATGTTGAAATTTTCAAAGTTTTTACGACTATTTAACAGTGATATGTTTTAATTTCATACAAAATATAATGGGATAACGCTTCACAAACATTTAGAACGCTCTAAAATCATTTGGGACTGTTTAGAACCATTTAGAGCGTTTCAGAGTCATTTGGAACTGTCCAGAACGATCTAGAACGCCCCAGAACTGTCTCTAACTTAATGATTTTGACTTAATAAGAAGAAGAATGTAAAATCGCGGTTTCACCGAGAACTTTTCACCTTACCCTTGTAGTACTAGTTGTTTATTATTCGTAATTTAATTACATAGGAAGTACAAACCTGTCCGAAATGTGCTGATGCCCCTTGGTGACACGTAGGTATGGCGGCGTCTTGGAAAAATATACTCAGTGCAGTCTAAAAATTAATAAATAATTAATTTATTGTCTATTTACTATAGTTATTACGCTAATTACTTGTGAAAATGTTATTAATCGAGCAAATTAATATTAAAACCAGTTTTCTTTTTAGATTCTCGCTTGTCATTCGCAAATGTCACTTGTCATTTTGACAACTGTCGTTTATAAACGCCATTATGACATATACAAGCTGTCAAATCCGAAATGTGGTTGAAAAAAAATGTAATTTTCGACACTAAATGTAATAATAATTGCAAATTCCACATCTACAACGACACAATTAGATAAAAATCTTAGATTAGATCAACTTGTGAGTACCCTGTATAAAAACCAAATTCCAATAAAACCCCTTTAACCAACAATTATCCAATTACATAATTCATAAATTAACCCACAAAGCGTAGAATTATTACGCGTAAACAATCGAGCGCTGGCAACGAAAAAAAACAAAACAAAACAACAAAAATATTTAGAGAGAAAAAAAAAATGTCCCAATGTTTATATCGGAGAATACGCGACGACCTTGAAAAGCAAAACAGTCAATAAACGAGCACGGGCCCGAACGGGGCGAGGGGAGCGGGTGTTATTAAACACATAACATCCGCCATTTTCTCTCCCGCAAAGTTTGTTTACTAAAAATAAAAATTGAAAGGATTACCTCGAATTGCCAATGGGCCGATTGCAGGATTTGTTTCGCCTGATCGTGTGCACAGCCCGCGGCGACGACGAATTGATTGATCATCACCTGCTCCCTCAAAGGCGCATCCATTTTGTGTTTCTATTGGAATCTTTCCAGAGACCGGAACGGAACTCGCTCGTTTTGAAATCCTACGAGCATTCGCTACACACACAACACACTACGCGTTCTTCTTCCTTTTTCCTCCGCTACTTTCGTCCTTCTCTCGCTCACGGCAACAAGTATTTATGAATGACGTCAGGGCTTTACGACACTAATGACAGTTTGACGTATTGACATGTTTCGGCGCGGTCGTATATTTCGAAGGTCAGGAAACTATGTTGTTTATAACATTCGTAGACGAAAGTAAGCAAATAAGCTTAGTAAACAATTATTAGGTTATCTAATTGTAAGTTATGACTGCATTTCCGTTATCCTAAATGTTGGATACTAAAAATTATCCTTTAAAACATCGTCTCCTACCGGTCGTTTTAGGAACTAAAATAAGTTTCCCGACCTTATTGATATACGACCGTGAGTTTAAGGGACGTTTAAGCTACCGTTCGTTGGAACTACCAATTTGACATTTGACGTTTGGGTGAATTATCTTAAAAGATAAAGCCCAAAATAGAAAAGAAGAAGAAGAAGAAGAAGAAATTTGACGTTTACTAATAACCTAAATATATAAGTCGAGTAAGCAAATTCAACAGCGAATTACTTGATTATTAATGGTTTTTGTTGTAGAAAATGTTTGTGAAACGAAAGGGCGAGTCGACGGAAAGCGACGCGAAGCGATTGAAACGGGAAAATTGTCCGCATTCCACGAGATGTTACAGGAAAAATCCTCACCATTTTAGGCAGTTCGAGCATCCGCATTTGCTGGAACTGATCGCAATGGGCGATAAGATCGAAATCCCGAGCGATTTTCCCCAATCTAAAGATGTTTATTTAGAGCAGATCGGTATCCTGAAACCGCTGGTTCGAGATCGATCGCAGAAACTTACTCCACCATCGGATAAGAAGAAACCGGACATTCCACAAGCTCCAGCTAAACCGAGCTGTTCCACCCACGAAAGCTCAATAGATTTAACCGTCGACAACGCAGTAAAAGTCCAATCGGAAACCACGATGGAGAAAATGAACCGAACGGCTCCTTACAACGTATTCTTCACGACCGTCAACAAATCACCCGAAACCCAACTACAATCCAACAGCATCACCTTCACGGACCTACTCTGTCCCAGTTTAGGCGCCCTCAAATGTTCATTACAAATCAACTTCATGATCGACATCGATTGGCTGCTCAAACAGTACAAGGCCAGAAACTTGCACTCGAAACCGCTCACGATCCTCTACGGAGACGACTGGCCCGACATGGAGAAGTTCATTCGCACGTTCTGCCCGAACGTCACCAGTAAATTGGTGAAAATGAAAGACCCCTTCGGCTGTCACCACTCCAAAATCGGGCTGTATATCTACGAGGACGAGTCGATCCGAGTGGTCGTATCCACTGCGAATTTGTACTACGAGGACTGGAATCACTACAATCAAGGATTGTGGATCAGTCCCGCTTGTAAACGATTATCGAACGATTGTAAAGAGACAGACGGTGAATCTCCTACCAAATTCAAATCGAATCTATTGAACTACTTGAGATCGTACAAAGAACCGATACTCGACAGCTTCATCGAGCAAGTAAAGAAAGCCGATTTCAGCGATGTAAAAGTGTTTCTAGTGTATTCGAGTCCCGGAAAACACTACCCGGAGTCCAACGGATGTCATTTGCACTGCGTCAGCGATTTGTTGTCTCGTCATTGCGAGCTACCGGCCAAGACTTCGCCCCGAAGCGAAGGGCCTCTATCCTGGGGGATACTAGCCCAAGCTTCGAGCGTCGGCTCGATGGGTAAGAAGCCGGCCGATTGGTTGCGAGGATCTTTACTGAGGTGCCTGGCCAGCCACAAAGGGGGCCCCAGACCGGCGAATTCGAGCGCTAGCATTAGCATAGTGTACCCGAGCGTGGATGACGTGATGAAGGGTTATTACGGGGCCGAAAGTGGCGGTTGTTTGCCCTATTCGAAGGCCACCAACGAGAAGCAAAGGTGGCTGCAGGAGTTGGGGTATTTGTATAAATGGAAGGCGAGCGCGTTCGGAAGGACTCGGGCTATGCCCCACGTTAAAACGTACTGTCGGGTGTCGCCTTGTTTGGGTAAATTGGCCTATTTTTTGATTACCAGCGCTAATTTGTCGAAGGCGGCTTGGGGGGGCCCTTTTGCGAGGGATTCGGGTGTTTATGTTCGGTCGTACGAAGTAGGCGTGCTGTTTGTGCCGAGGTTTTTCGACGAGGAATATTTCGAGATTTCTGATGGTGATGATAGGAAGAATAAGGCTTTGTTTCCGTTTATGTACGATTTGCCGCTTACGCCGTATAAAAAGGACGATTATCCGTGGTGTAATTAGTGCTGTTACGTTTTGGTTTTTGTATTGTTTTGAATATATTTTTTTCTACTTTTTAATTGGTTTGTTAATTTTGACAGTATTGATAGATCTACGAAGAATTATTCCGAGATTTCTGATGGTGATAATAGGAAGAATAACGTTTTGTTTCCGTTTATGTACGATATCAGTTATGTAATTACTTCTATTACGTTTGTTTTTGTATTGTTTTGAATATATTTTATTCACTATTTGCGTATAAAACTCAATGTGTGGCAACAGTGGAAGTAACAAACTTTGACAGTATTGACACTATTGACAGATCTAGTACCAACTTTTACTCTTTATTGTTTGTTTTATGATATGAAGTACTTTTGCGTACTTTGTACAAGTTTTGTACTTTTATCTCGTAAAAATACGCGATTATCTGATTATGACTAAGATCATTAATTTTGTGATTACCAGACGACTTTTACTGATAATGTATCTCCATTGTATATAAATAAAGAGATGAAGTAGTTTAAAAAGTGTTGGTTAACATGCGTATGTGTTTGTGGGTACTTCACAGGCGGCCATTGTGTTAAAATATTGTATGAAATATTAGTAGAAATAGTGCAATATTTCTACAAGTAAGATAAATTCTGCTTAAGATATTATTTATTATTTATATTAATAATTGTTGCTTTTTTAGATGCGTTTAATTTTGTCGAAAGAATTAAGTTTTAAAGCAAATTTAATTGAAATCATTGATGGGTCCAACGCAATCAATTCATTATTATACTGTATAAAATATTAGTAGAAATAGTACAATATTTCTACAAGTAAGGTAAATTCTGCTTAAGATATTGTTTATTGTGTATATTATTAATTGTTGCTGTTTCAGGTGCTTTTAATTTTGTCCGAAGAATTAATGTTTAAAACAAATTGAAATCATTGATAGGTCAAACGCAATCAATTCCTGATTCAACTGATGATTCAAAACAGGTACACTTTTCAAATTTGAATAATAATATAAAAGGAGAAATGGAAGTACAGAAATTAGAAGTTTCCACCCAATCTGTTAATGGTGTTAATTCAAAAATGACAAATAATACTGATAATGATGCAAAATCTATCAAAAAGAAGCCTTGTCCCTATTCCAAGTGGTGTTACATCAAAACAAAAATTCACTTTGAGTTGTTCGAACATGCCCATTTGTTAGATCTATTAGAAATGGACGATCCAGCGAAAGTACTAAAAGATTTTCCAAGGCCCAAAATCGTATATTTAGACCAAATTAATATAATGAAATCATTAAGATCTTCAACACCATCACTTAAAGCTTCAGATTCGAAAGAACCAATCAATTTTACAACTGCCAAAAATACAAATAATAATGTAAATGGAAATACTAATATTGAAACAAAACGGAAAAATGTACCTTCTTCGAGTGGTATTAAAGGAAGTACAAAAAAGAAACCCTGCGATTTTTCAACGAGATGTCTTCTCACTAAAATTCAGCATTTTCAAGAGTTCGAACATTCTCATTTGTTGCCACTTCTTCAACAGCAAGATCCAATAAAAATTCCAAGTCATTTTCCAAGGGCCAAAGAAGTGTATTTAAAGCAAATAGAAATCATGAAATCTTTCATGGTTCCAAAACAATCAATTCCTGATTCTACTGTTGATTCAAAACTGGTACTAGTACCCTCTTCAACTTTGAATAATAATATAAAAGAAGAAATGGAAGTACAAAAATTGGAAGTTTCCACCCAATCGGTTAATGGTGTTAATTCAAAAATTGCAAATTTTACTATTAATGATGCGCAACATATCACAAAGAAACATTGTCCCTTTTTCAATAGCTGTTGGGTAAGAAGAAGAGATCATTTTGAGATGTTCCAACACTACCATTTGTTACCACTATTAAAAATGGACGATCCACAAATACCAAAACATTTTCCAAAGTCTAACAAAGTATATTTAGATCAAATAGAAATTATGAAATCGTTGATGGCTCCAACACAATCAATTCAAGATTTGGATTCGAAGCAACCAATCAATTTTACTACTACTACTAATAATATTGAAAATGGAAAGACTTTTGATAATGCTATGAGGGAACAAATAGAAATAGAGAAATCGATATTATTGGTTCAGCCACAATCAATTTCTGAAGCAAATTTTAATTCTAACGAGGCAAATTCTTCATCTTTTGAAAGTAATAATGGAGAACATGAGACCACTTCTGATGATGATGTAAAATTAGGAATAGATGTACAGAAATCAGTAGTTGCAACCAAAACAGTTATCGCTGATGATGTTAATTCAAAACGGAAAAATATATCTACTTCAAGTAATATTAAAGGAAGTATAAAAAAGAAACCTTGCTATTATTCAATAAATTGTCTTAATACGAACGTTCAGCATATTCAAGAATTCGAACATTCTCATTTGTTGCCATTTCTTCAAATGCAAGATCCAATAGAAATTCCAAGTAATTTTCCAAGGGCCAAAAAAGTGTATTTAAAGCAAATAGAAATCATGAAATCATTGATGGCACCAACCCAATCAACAGATCAAATATTGTTCCAATTAGGTCAACTCTATCCCCATCACAAGACGTTTTTCACTCCAGAAGAAAACGACGATCACTTCACCAGACACGAAACAATCATCAAAATCGACGATGAAGTAATTTCATTCCTAAACCTTTTAAATTTTATAAATCTAATCACCTTTCTATCGCAGATGTTCCACGGATCCGGACCGAGTAAAAAATCCGCAAAAAAATCGGCCGCCATTAAAGCTCTATGCAAGCTCGCCGATTACGAAGCTCGCTTCATTCGCAACACTTACCAATCCTCAACCGAAATCAACCAAAAACTCGCCGATGCAATCGGAGGATTAATCCAGAACAAATTCGCCTCTCTAATGAACAACGATCCCGCCCACGCTAAGAGAAAAGTACTATCCGGAATAGTAATGACGATCAACGAAGACCTGGACAATGAAAACTCCCGAGTAATATGCATAACGACCGGCACGAAATGCATCTCTGGCAAACACATCGACCTATCCGGTGGTTCCCTCAACGACATGCACGCCGAGATACTATCCAGAAGATGTTTGTTGTACTATCTCTACGATCAATTGGATCTCTTCGACTCCGCCGAGCCTCACCGATCGATCTTCCAGAAGAAAGTAGATGGTGAAGGATTTAAATTGAAGGATGGAGTGGATTTCCATTTGTTCATCAGCACAGCCCCCTGCGGATTGGCTAGGACCTACAATTTCGGAAACACTGCCTCCAACGATTCGATAAAATTAAACGAGAAATTGAGGATGAAACTGGAAGGAGGCGAAGGGAGCATACCGGTAGAAAACGATACTAAAATTCAAACAATGGACGGTATTATTCTTGGAGAAAGATTGTTAACGATGTCTTGTTCGGATAAAATCTGCAAATGGAACGTGTTGGGCGTACAAGGAGCTCTCCTGTCGCGATTCATCGAACCGATTTATCTGAAATCCATTATAGTGGGTAGTTTGTTCAACGAAAACCATTTGTACAGGGCCGTATCGGGGAGGATCGAGTCGATTTTGGGGGATTTACCTTCGGGTTTTCTGTTGAATAAGCCGAGTTTGTTGACTCTTACTTGGCCTGAAGACAGGGTGATCGAGACGTCGCCGGCGTTTTCTGTATTGTGGGTAGAAGGTTTGGGAAAACCTGAAATTGTGATTTGTAAAACGGGGAGACTCGAAGACGAGGGTGTTTCGATTGTGTCTAAGAAATGTTTGTCGAGCAGGTTTAGTAAGTTGTTTGGGAAATTTTCTGGTTTAGGCGCGCCTCGTACTTTGTGGGACGCCAAAAATCTGGATAATGATTATAATGAGGCTAAAAAGTGTTTGTATGATTCGTTCGTTAAAGGCCAATTAGGTCGTTGGGTTTCTAAACCTCACGAACAAGATAGGTTCTTTTTGTGATGATTTTTGAAATACTTACTGTGACTAAAATAAGCAAATGACATTTTTAAATTTAATTATTGTATATTTTATTACATTTTATTAGTATCTTGTTTTATGATGGCCAAAAGTATACCGATTTTTTACTGAATTTGTATTAATGTTTGTTAGAAGAGTATAAATGAATAAAATTATTTTTTAATACATAGTTTCTTTCATTCTATGAAATAAATCTTACTATATTCTTACAGATCTTAAAGATTTTATTTTGTCTATGAAAGTTACAAAATTTTGACAAAAGTGAAAGAAGTAAGTTGGCCGGATGCGACATAACGCAAGAGGTCATGTAACAAAGAAGAAATGACATTTTAAAGTGTGACGGATATACGACAAGTAACAGGCCGCCCACAAGGTTGACGGATTTGACAGATGACGGCGCGCAATTTTGACATTCGATATTCACAATACTCGTTCTCATTATTTACTTGGAAAAATAATAGACAACGCAAATTTGAAAGAGTTATAAAAATACAATATTACAAGAGTTTCATCAATATTTTGGAAGTATTATAGGTATCATCACATAATTCACCTAATTCCTAATACTCCTAATACTTCCAATACTGTGTCATCGGATTCCTCAGGTTCTTCCATCACCCCGTTTGATTGAGTCTGGTCATCTATCAGTCTATCACTATCACCATATTTTCTGTAGGTGTTTTCTCTGTTTCTTTTGATTTACCAACTGCAGTCTCGGGAGACTCTGGTTCGTTTAAATCGAAAACAAAAGAGGAATTATCCGAGGAATCGTCTTCAACTGGCTCACCAACAGGTCGTGTACACGATTCTGCGGAACTTCGAGGAACTGAATCAATTTTTACTAAAATGCATACAAAATTTAACCACACAAAATTGACAAATTTGTGAAAAACTGACTTTTCTTGTTTATTGGTAGACTGTTTGATGCAGTAGGTTCTTCCTAAAAAAAAAAATAATGTAGTTAATAAAAAAAACAATTGATTGTATCACCTTACTTTGATGTCAACCTTGAGTTTCAAGCGTTCTGAAAAGAAAAATCGTTTCGCTTTTTCGACTTCCCTTTGAATTTCCCGGAAACATCTTGCATCCCCGCGATATAACAATTCCAAAATCACCAATATAACTTCAGATGAAAATTGTTTTACATTTATCTCCAACTGAAATGCCATATAGTAAGATAAAAAATATATTTAGTGGACATTTTACCTTTCCATTTCGTTCTTTACTTTCTATTTGTTCTCTAAAAAAATGGTTTTTCATTAATACACTGCTGTGGGCAGCTACAACATCGTTTGAACAAATTAGAAAAGTGTCTACATTTTTTTTCCGCACGTAAAGTTGGAAAAGTATCTCCGAGGAATTGAACGAGAGTTCTACTACATGAATATTGTTAGAGGCATCCATCTCAACTACACCTTTCAACAATTATTTTTTGGTAATAAATTAGCACTTTTTATATTATTTTTTGAACTAGGTGAAGTTCGTTAAAGTTAAACGTAGACCATAGACCACAGAAAATTGGAAAAAATTTGACGTTGACACTCTTGACATGCAACACCAAAATGTGTCATTGTTGCCAATATCCGTGAAGCAGTCGTGGCCTCTAACAAAACGAGTATACGCCTCACATATTGCGACCTAACGCATGCGACATAACGCAAGAGGTTATGTAACAGAGAAGAAAAAAGAAGAAGTGACATTTTAAAGTGTGGCGGATATACGACAAGTAACAGGCCGCCCACAAGGTTGACGGATTTGACAGATGACGGCGCGCAATTTTGACATTCGATATTCACAATACTCGTTCTCATTATTTATTGTTCTTGATTATTTCGTAGTGAAATAAAACGTTTCGTTATTGTTATTAACTTAACAAAGTGGTTTCATTACATGAGTAGCCACAAAAGTAGCCGAATAAACTCATCAACAAAGGCACCTTTTACCACACGAAGTTAGGTACAAATCATAAAAATGACAACTATGACAAGTGAGTTAAACGTTTTACGACGAATTAACGAGTAAGTACAATCGCAATTACCCAATTTATTCTCCAATCCACAAGTAATGGTAAAAGAAAGATCTAATCCATAACAACTAATTCAAATTTTAAATTGGCCGAATAACATCATCAACTAAGGCACCGTTTACTACACGATACGAAGTGAAGTTAGGTACAACTCATAAAAGTCAAAAAAGCAGGGTTATGATTACTAAATAACGAATAGTGCACGCCAAGACATCGATTTTAATTCGAAATATCCCCCGATTAAACACAAATCCAACGAATAAACCAGTAAGTACGACCGCATTTACTCAATTTCCAATAATATTCTCAACACTCCCCCATCCACAGGTAATGGAAAAATCCAATCGAACAGACCAAACCGACGATCTCTACACCAACAAAACCGAATCCCTCGCATTCAAATGCACCCTACCGAATTGCGGAAAGGCCTACAAAAAGAAATATCTCCTCCAAGAGCATTTAAACAAACACAACAAACTCAGACCGTTCGTTTGCACGATCGAGGCATGCTCGAAAACCTTCACCAAAGACTCGCACCTGAAACGCCACAAAACCCAAGTACACGAACGGGCTAGCGAGACGGCCTGCGACGTAAAAGGCTGCGGGATCGTTTGCAACAACATATACAGCCTGCGGAAACACAAGAATCGCATGCACAACCCGTCGAATTGTCCGTTTGTTTGCAATATTTGTCACGAAGGGTTCGAGAAGAAGCGACAGTTTCAACAGCACAATTACAAGCACACGGGCGAGCCGCCGTTCAAGTGAGTCCAACTGGATTTTGAATGGAAAAAATGTTTTATTAGACTTTAAAGAAAAATGTCTAGAGATTACTATAGACAGGACAGTTCTAAATGCTTCTGGAGCGTTCTAGATTGATCTACACGGTTCCAAATGATTCTAGACAGTACTAAATGAGTTTGGAGCGTTCTAAATGGTTCAAAAACAGTTCTAAATGATTCTAGCGAGCGTTCTAGATAGTTCAAAATGATTCTAAGCCGTTCTAAATGGTTCAAAAAACAGTTCATAATAATTCTGGAGCGTTCTAAATAGTTTTAAGCAGTTCTAAAATCGTTTAGAACGCTCCAGAGTCATCTAGAACTGTCTTGAAACATTTAGAACTACTTAGAACCATTTAGAACGCTCCAAAATCGTTTAGAAAATGTCTAGAATCATCTAGAGCTGTTTAGAACCATTTAGAACACTCCAGAAGCATTTAGAACAGCCTAAACTATTCAGAACCGTCTATGCGAAAACGCTATAATTTGTTGTTGTTGTTGTTGTTTTAGATGCAATTTATGCAACATTGGGTTCCTGATGCAAAGGGATTTAACGAAACATAAAAGAAATCATAAAAGTTATTCGTGCGATTGCAATGAAACGTTCAACAGATGGTCCGATTTGTGTGCACACAAAAAAAATTGTTCTAACGAAGGTAATTTATAATAATAATAATAATAATATCAACTTATGATACACTCTGTATAGATAAACGCCATAACGGTTCGTTTTTTTAGATATCGCTTGCGAAATTTGCCAGAAAAAATTCCAATCGAAAGTGAATTTGAGAGCGCACAAACGAAAAATCCACGAGGAATCCGAAACGTTTTATTGCCCATACGCTGATTGCAAAAGGAGTTACAAGTACAAGAAAAATTTGAACTTTCACATTACAATTTACCATGAAAAAGATGCCGACGCGGAATTCCCTTGTCCCACTTGCGGAAAGAAGTTTTCTTTAAAGGTAAAAAAAAAACAAGTTTCCTAAAGTTAAGACGTTTTCTTTAAATGTATTTTAAAGTTTCCTTAAGTTCGTAGGTTTTAAAATGACAATGAAGTGAGGGAAAAAAACAGGACAAAGGCAAAAATCGCTGTGAATCATTTAGAACGCTCCACTGTCATTTAGAACTGTTTAGAATCAATTAGAACGTTCCAGAAACATTTAAAACCGTCGTGAACGCGTTCTAAATGATTCTGGAGAGTTCTAAATGTTTCAAGACAGTTCTAGAATACTCTGAAGCGTTCTAAATGATTCAAGACAGATCTGGAATACTCCAGAGTATTCTAGAACTGTCTTGTAGAACTCTGTATTCTAGAAATTTCAAAAATCCTCGTCATTTTAAAACGTACCGACTTTATTATATTCTATAAACTTTATTTATTTACATTAACTATTAATGTATAAATTTTTTCAGACCTATTTAGACCGCCATATCAGATCGATGCACGACAAACCGAAAACTCGAAAAAAACTGAGAGCTCCGCGAAAAGACAAAGGATTATCGCGTACATTTATGGCAGCGAAACTATCAGGGATTAATTTGACGCCAAAAGAACACAAAGAATTATTATTTGTATCGAACAATTCCGAACCGGTCCCGGACCGATCCCAACAAGCTAACGAAATAAGAGATTCTAGTCAAATCGACGGAGAAAATTTAATCGAACGCCGAAATCTAATCGATAAAATCGAGGATTTGATACATTCTCGCGTTGAATCTATTTCTAAAGAATCGATTGTTAGCGAAACGTTTCCCGATGATATATTAGTCGATTGTAATTCCGTATTGGATGCCATTGAAAATTGTTTATCGCAAAAATTATAAAATCTTTTCGTATATCGTACTGATTGGAAATTATATTGTAGAAAGTAATTCAATGTTGGTTTATTTCCTATTAGTTTTGTTGAAAATTCCCCAACAATACGAAATTTCTCACTTATTGGCAACGCTGCCTTGTCTTCTTCTCTTTAAAACATGGCCTCAACTTTGTAGGAAAAAGGTCACATAGCAAATCCGGTCTTGGTTTCTTATCGTATGTCAATGTTTGCGAACCTCGCTGTCACCTGTCAACCGTCAATGACAGCAACAGCATTACATTTATCAGCTGAAATAAACAAAACAAAAAAAAAAGTATTCAGTGAGTGTGAAAATTTTAAAACTAACAGGGCACTCGATACACAATAATGGATAAATCGTTAATGGCAACAAACCTATAAAAATGGCGAACGAAAAGGACCAACAAAGCGCGCTCAACGGCATAGCGAACAATCAAAACGCTGGCAATCTGAAGAGAAAGGTCCCCGGCAAGGAAGACCAACCGAAAAGGACGAAAAAACGCAAGCACGAGCAAAACATCATAATAACCGATAAGAATCCCATATCGTTGCTCAACGAGCTCAGGACCGGCTTGAAATACGAATTAATCGAAGAATGCGGCCCATCGCATTGTCCCACGTTCAAGCTATGCGTAGAGGTGGACGGGAAAAAGTATTACGGTTTAGGGAATTCCAAAAGGGCCGCCAAATCGGCGGCGGCCGCCGAGGCTTTGAAATCATTCATACAATTCCCTACGAACGGTACGTTTAATACTTGTACGGATAGCAAAATGGATTTCACATCGGATCAAGTGATCGGGAAGAATTCGAAAGAGTTGAATTGTTTGAAACAAAACGTCGTTACCAAAGGATCGTTGATGTTGTTGAACGAATTGTATCCGAATTCTGTGTTTACTTGTTTTTCCAACGAAAGGGATTCGTTTCATCGGTTTAAAATACAGATTACGATCGATAACGAGGTAATTGTGCAAGTTTGATTTTGGTTTAGGTTTAGTTTGATTTAGTGTGTTCGGTTAAATGATAGAATGTTTGATGGTTTTTGAGGATTTTTGATGATATATTAGAACACTCCAGAATCATTTAAAACTGTTTAGAACCATTTAGAACGCTTCCGGTCGATCGAAAACAGTTCAGAAGATTTTAGAAATGATCATTTTGAATGATTTGAATGAAATGACATTTAGAACGATCCAGAACCGTTTAAACCGTTCCAGAACAATTTGTAACGTTTCAAAATGATTCAAAACAGTTTAGAACTGTCCAAAACGATGTTAGAACTGCCAGGAATCAGTTAGAACGGTCCAAGATGATTTAAAACAGTTTAGAACTGTTCAGAATCATTTAGAACGCTCCAGAAACCATTCGTATAACGCTTTAGAACGATTTAAACAGTTCAAAACGATTTAGAATTGTCCAAAACGATGTTAGAACTGCCCGAAATCATTTAGAACGATTCAAGACGATTTAAAATACATAGTTCAATTTTTGAAGATTTAAATTTTGATGATCAAAAACTAAAAAAAAAACACCACAATCTGAATAATCGTCAAAAATTGAACTGTGTATTTGAAATCGTCTTGAATCGTTCTAAATGATTTCGGATAGTTCTAAATGTTTCTAGACAGTTCTAAAATGACAAAAACCTCAAAAAATCCTCAAAAAACATAAAAAAAAACACTCAAAAACCTCTAATAACCGCCTCTCCGCCATTCTCTTCCAGACCTTCGTCGGTACCGGCCCCAACAAGAAATCCGCCAAAAACGCCGCCGCCTCGGCCGCTCTCTGCAAGCTCACCGACTATCCCGCCCCCGACGTCTTCGTCCCCTCCGCCTCCGCCAAAAACGCCGCCGCCGCCGCCGCCTTTCATTCGCGCGAACACCGCCAATTAGCGGACGCCATCGGTCGACTAATCAACGACAAATTCTCATCGCTGATGGCCGACGACGTGCCGCACATGCGCAGAAAAGTCATATCGGGCATCGTCATGACCCGCAACTCGGACATTTCCACCGCCCAAGTTATTTGCGTCACGACGGGCACCAAATGCATCTCCGGAGAGTACATCAGCATGACCGGCGCCACATTGAACGATATGCACGCCGAGATACTATCCAGAAGATGTCTGTTGTTGTATTTCTACGATCAATTGGATGTACTCAATTCGCCGGAACCTCATCGATCGATCTTCGAAAGGAACTACTCGGATGGTAGACGGTTCAAATTGAAAGATGACGTGGAATTCCATTTGTTCATTAACACGGCTCCTTGCGGTGACGCGAGGATATTCAGTCCGCACGAGGATAATAATTCGGTGGATAAACATCCATCGAGGCTATCCAGAGGTCAATTGAGAACGAAAATCGAATCGGGCGAAGGGACTATACCGGTGAAAAACGTCTCGCGAATACAAACGTGGGACGGGATCCTCCAAGGAGAACGACTACTCACCATGTCCTGTTCGGATAAGATATGCAGGTGGAACGTTTTGGGGCTACAGGGGGCGTTGTTGTCGTATTTCCTCGATCCGATCTACCTGAAAACCATCGTGCTGGGCAGTTTGTTGAAAGAGAGCCATTTGTATCGAGCCATATGCGGTAGAATCGAGTCTACGTTACAGGGTCTACCGCCACCGTTTTTGCTAAACAGACCCGGCATGTTGAGGCTCACTTCCACCGAAGTCAGGCAGGCTTTGAAAGCGCCGAATTTCTCCGTCATTTGGACCATCGGAATGGACAAACCGGAGGTGGTGAATTGTAATACGGGTAAATTGGAGGACGGTCGATTGTCGTTGGTTTGCAAGCAGAATTTGTGCAACAGGTTTAGTAAAACGTTCGATGCTTTCTCCGATGGTACTGCAGCGAAATGCGTACCGGGTACTCTGATGGAAGCGAAAGAGATGGTAGCGAATTACAATCAGGCGAAGAGGAGTTTGTACGATGCTTTCGCTAAAGGCCAATTGGGTTCGTGGGTTACGAAGCCCATCGAACAGGATTGGTTCGATATCCGATCGTCCGGTGATGGGGATTGGTCGATTCCCGTTTCGGATTAGTTTTTTTTAAAAACGGAAATTTGTATTTATTTGTTTATTCGATATGTCGTGTTTGAATTGTACAAAATAATAGTTGTTTATGAAAAGCGTGTTCAAATTATTTATTTGCGTCGCATACGTTTAAGTTTTATGAATAAAAAAAATTAAAGGTTTAAATCGAATTGTTTCTTTTCATCACTTGAATATTAAATATTATATTTGATCCAATATTATGAATAATTATTAATATTATAATTGAATATTAAATTTAAATTTGCACAATTCGAACGTTTTTACAACAATCATGCTGGGGGTGATGTTCAACAAAAATATATTAAAAATAAAATCGCTAAAATTAACAATAAATAAAACCATAAAATTCCTGCAAGAATCTCAAATTGAGAATTTGTACACCTTACACCCTGTACATAATCTAAACATTATTTTTCATAATATTAATACAATAACCTCAGTACATTAACAAATTATAATACAATAACAACAAACGTGGAGTATTAACATTACAAAATTAAATAATAATCGTTTAATCGCCTTTTCCTAATAGAATCTTCAGCTACCATTTATCCAGGAATTTATCTAGTAATAACAACAATTTTCAACATTTAATTATACCCCCAATTTAGGACGCACTAGAACTAGTTCAGGCCAATTTAGAGTACCTCAAAAGCAATAGAACTGTATAGAAGAAGAATTTATAGTGCTTTTGGATGCATTTCGAACCGTTCATAACAATTTACAATGGTTCAGAATGCATTAGAACTCGGCCAGAACAATTTAGAGTTCTTTAGGATGTACTAGAACTGGTGCAGGACAATTTAGAGCGCTTCAGAATTGCACTAGAAGAGTTTAGAACAATTTAAAGTACTTCAGAATGCACTAGAACTATTCCGAATGCTCCAGAATGCACTAGAACTGTTTAGATCAATTCATAATGGTTCAGGATTGCCCTAGAACAGTTTAGAACAATTTAAAGTACTTCAAAATGCACTAGAACTATTCAGATCAATTTAGAATGTTTCAGAATGCCCTCGAACTGTTTAGAACTTCAGAATGTACTCTAGAACCATTCAGAATGCTTCGGGATTGCCTTAGAACTATCCAGAACACTTTTATCACTTCTGATTAGAACCGTTCCGTCGATTGATCTCGCCGGCGACGAATTCCCAACTGTCGCAACTCGTCCGATAGAAATCGATTTGTCGATCGACGAAATCCAACAGAATTTTTTTCAAGCAATGTTGCTTTTCCGATTGCCATCGTTGGAAATCGCTCCTCAACGATTCGTTGGCGCATTCCAAATTATCCTGGTCGGTTTCCACTTTTTTTATTAATTGCGGAATGCAAACGCCCAATTTCTCCAATTTTTCCTCGCTGTTGTTGCTGCTGCTGCTCGACGATTTCCACAGGGAGAAACCGGAACTCGATTGGGACGGGTTCCGTTGGTTCGATACTAACTGGAAATGGAAGAAAAATCAAATATAAAATGATTAATGTGGTATTTCTTGCGATTTGTTGTTATAAGGGATGCGTTAGAAGTAGTTCAGGGCAATTTTGAATGCTTCTAGAGGCATTAGAACTAATTTAGGACAAATTAGAGTGGACAAAAAATCCATAAAAATTAATAAAAATCCTAAATAAAGATATCCTTACTTTATCTTTTTCGAAATGCCTCTTATTCAACTCTTCAACGGACGTTTCGTACGAATACTGATAGAACTCCCTCTTCTTCAGCGTCTCCTGAGCCACCTCGATGTAACTCAAAAACTCCCTGATCGGATTCCCCATCGTATTACCGTAGGCGTGAATTAGAGCGCTTTGAGCGGCCGAACTTCTCTCGGTAGCGCCCCCTATTTGGCTCAAAAGCTCGGCCAAATGGGGCTCGCTGGTGGCCCAAGTGGTGAAAATCGGATGGAAGTTGTTCAATTCTGTTAGAAATAATACAAGAGAAAGTTATTAGTATAAATATGTCAGTATTCGGACGAAAACCGTTCGAAGACCGCACAAAAACAGCAAAGAAACCGCACAAAAACCGTAAAAAAAACCGCAAAAAAAATCGCTAGAAAACCGCTTAAGAACCGCAAAGAAACCGCTAGAGAACCGCAAAGAGACCGCTAGAGAACCGCACAAAAACCGCAAAGAAACCGCTAGAGAACCGCAAAGAAACCGCTAGAGAACCGCACAAAAACCGCAAAGAAACCGCTAGAGAACCGCAAAGAAACCGCTTAAGAACCGCACAAAAACCGCTAGAGAACCGCAAAGAAACCGCAAAGAAACCGCAAAGAAACCGCTTAAGAACCGCACAAAAACCGCTTAAGAACCGCACAAAAACCGCTTAAGAACCGCAAAGAAACCGCTTAAGAACCGCACAAAAACCGCTTAAGAACCGCACAAAAACCGCTAGAGAACCGCACAAAAACCGCTTAAGAACCGCAAAGAGACCGCTTAAGAACCGCAAAGAGACCGCTTAAGAACCGCAAAGAGACCGCACAAAAACCGCTAGAGAACCGCAAAGAAACCGCTTAAGAACCGCAAAGAAACCGCTAGAGAACCGCAAAGAAACCGCTAGAGAACCGCAAAGAGACCGCTAGAGAACCGCACAAAAACCGCAAAGAAACCGCTAGAGAACCGCAAAGAAACCGCTTAAGAACCGCACAAAAACCGCTTAAGAACCGCAAAGAAACCGCTTAAGAACCGCACAAAAACCGCAAGAGAACCGCACAAAAACCGCAAGAGAACCGCTTAAGAACCGCACAAAAACCGCTAGAGAACCGCACAAAAACCGCTTAAGAACCGCAAAGAGACCGCTTAAGAACCGCAAAGAGACCGCTTAAGAACCGCAAAGAGACCGCACAAAAACCGCTAGAGAACCGCAAAGAAACCGCTTAAGAACCGCAAAGAAACCGCTAGAGAACCGCACAAAAACCGCGAAAGAACCGCAAAGAAACCGCTTAAGAACCGCAAAGAAACCGTTAGGAAACCGCTTAAGAACCGCAAAAAAACCGCTAGAAAACCGCAAAGAAACCGCTAGAGAACCGCAAAGAAACCGCTAGAAAACCGCACAAAAACCGCTTAAGAACCGCAAAGAAACCGCGAAAGAACCGCAAGAGAACCGCAAAGAAATCGCAAGTCCAACTCCACTCACCCGTCACGTATTCGCTCCTCTCTTTGTTGACGCGACCGGATATCCTCTCGATCGAGGCCAATTTCTCCGACAAAGCGCCCAAGTAGGCCTTGGTCCTTTCGAATTCCGAATGTTTGTTCGACGTCGAACCGCTCGATCGACGATGATCGAATCGAATCGATTTCATCTGTACAGGATGTCTCTGTCTTCGATGAAGGACGAAATCGCCGGGCTGGAGGGTGAGGAACCCTTTGAAATGTTCATCGCAACTGAGGATCGGATGTTTGGCAACTCTCGATACGAAAACGTTGAGGGATTTCATCCTGACCAGAATGAAGTCTTTGGAGTATCGATCCAGTTGGCCGATTAGAGAGTGTTTTCCTGGTAAAGGCTGGAAATTTAATGATAAAATGTTAATATTAAATTATTAAAAAAGGTTCTAAAGGGTTCTGGAGCGTTCTATACGGTTCTGAACTGTTCGAAATCAATCTGGAGCGTTCTAGATTGCTCTAGGCAGTTCTAAATGATTCTCGAGTATTTAAGATTGCTCCAGGCAGTCTCTGGACAGTTTCTAGACCGTTCTAGAAAGTGCTCGGAATATTTCTAAAAGGTTCTAAAGCATTCTAGATTGCTCTAGATAGTTCTAAATGGTTCTGGAGCGTCCTACATTGCTCTAAATAGAGTTTTTCAGGAGCATTCCAAATGTTCCTAGACAGTTCTACACGATTCTGGAACGTTCTAAATGGTTCTACGCGGTTCTAAATGATTTTGGGCCATCCAAAGATGTTTTCACCAGTTCTAAATGGCTTTAGGCCGTTCTTAAACAGCCGTAAATAATTCTAATCGGTAGTTTAAGGCTTATAAATAAGGATTCTAAAGTTTCGATTTGTTAGACTTACGGGTACGATGCAAAAGGGATGGCCCTCGACCAGTTTCTGTCTCAGCCAAAGGAAATCGTTGTACCTTCTGTGTACGATGTACTCGTTATCGGTGAATTCGATTCGAGCCACTTTGGTGGTTATTCTGAACGTTATGTATGTTTCTAACGTTTCCAAATGCTTCTGGGGATTGTCGATTTTCACGCACAGATCCGAATTTTCGTCCATGTTTAATTCGGAGAGATTCTCGATGTCGTGTATGGTCGAGAAGCTTTCGATGCTCGGAGATTGGGCCTAAAAATTTATTAAAATGCGTTTAAAAATATGAATATTTAAAGGTATTATTAGCTTATGATGTAAATACAAGTTTGGAACGTATCTGGAGAGTTCTAAATTGCTCTAAATAGTTCTTAGATTGTCTTAAACAGATCTAAATAGTTTCTAAATGATTCTAAAGAGTTCTTAATGACTATGGAGGGTTCTAAATGGTTCTAGATAGTTCTAAACGATTCTGGAGTGTTCCAAATGACTCTAGACTGTTTCAAATGGTTCTGAATCGTTCTAAATTGTCGAAAAAGCTCTAGATGCTCGGAGATTTCGCCTAAAATATATCATAAAAATGAGTAAACATCGTACAATTTAAAAAGATAAAAGTTGTAAATTAATTAATTTGTTTGTTCCTGTATCAAAATGATAAATAGTAATCTAATGTTCCGAATGTGCGGAGAACAAATCAATGTATCGAATTTCTACGAAACTAACCTTTGAAATGTAAAAAAGGGTACACTCTATACTAGAATATAAATGAAATATGCAAAATTAGATTCTCAATAGATAAGAAAATATCATCGAAATTGAGTTACCAATGAATTATCGTAGGTCGAATCGCTACAAACGCTGGAAGGATCGATTTCTTTTTCTTTGAAAACGGACGGATTTTCCTTATTTTCTACGACTACGTCTAGCACGGCCGATGTTTTACTTTCCATTTTATCGTTTTTCGATAATAAACGCGTTTTTTTTTTACTGTGCTACAGCAGGTTTAAAAATTTAGAATGATACGGTGAAATGTGAAATATCGTTTACAAATTTGTAGGAGTCAAATTCGCACAGTTAACCAAACGTCAAAATAATTAACTAGAGAGCTAGTTAGTAAAAGGCCACTCTTCTTCTTTTTTTCTAATCTTCTTTTTAATTATTGGCCTCAGCTGCCAGGGCTATTCGGCCACTCTTCTTCTTTTTTTCTAATCTTCTTTTTAATTATTGGCCTCAGCTGCCAGGGCTATTCGGCCACTCTTCTTCTTTTTTTCTAATCTTCTTTTTAATTCTTGGCCTCAGCTGCCAGGGCTATTCGGCCAATCTTCTTCTTGTCTCTCGACTTTGACATAGACAAACTGTCAGTAGCACGGAACTCTCGTTCCTTACAAAGGGGGCCTTTTTTAGATTGTATATAAATTAGTAGGGAAGTAATTAGTTTTATATTATATTCAAGTAAATAAATCCAAAGCGAATTCGTATATTTGACTTTTTATTCTTCTTTTTTTTTAATTAATTTCCGGTGACAATAGGATGAATAGCCAACTTGTCAAAGGCCAGTTTTTGACACTATTGACAGAAATGACGTGTTAACCTCAAAATCAAATCTCAAAAAAATACGCTAAAATAACGTGTTTAACTTGTTAATTTACTAAAATCAATGTAATTTAATCGTTTAATTCAACGTGGTTCGTTTAAATCTAATATTATATACCTTGTAGATCTCTTCCAATGGCGAACACAGCAAACCCCCAACTAACCGAAGACGAATTATTCTGCGACGCTGAAACCGACCAAGAAATCTTCCTCGACGAGCTCAAACTGGACGAAAACAACGATGATTACGACGAAGAATACGACGAATACGAATACGATTCCGATCCCTACGAAGACGAGAACTATTCGCGCAGCTCCAACCCGCAGCAAATCTCGAAAAAAGCCCTCAATTGCCAACCTACGGAAAACCTCTACAAAAAATACTCCAACAGAATCAACGTGGAAAAATACGACGTACATTCCCTACCCCACAACACCACCAACCTACTCGTAGAGAATCAAAAACGAACCGACAACGAACGAATCCGCAATAAAGACAAACAAGACCGAGCCACCGCCGAGCAAGTAATGGACCCCAGAACTCGAATGATCCTCTTCAAATTGCTCAATCGCAACGCCATTAGCGACATAAACGGCTGCATTTCCACCGGGAAAGAGGCCAACGTGTATCACGCATCGACCGACGACGGACGACACTACGCAGTGAAAATCTTCAAAACTTCAATTTTGGTGTTCAAAGACAGGGATAAATACGTGACGGGCGAGTTCCGGTTCAGGCGGGGCTACTGTAGAAGAAATCCGAGGAAAATGGTCCGTACGTGGGCCGAGAAGGAGATGAGGAATTTGGTTAGGATGCATTCGAACGGTTTAAATGTGCCCGAACCGATTGTATTGAGATCGCACGTGCTGGTTATGGGTTTCATTGGGAAGGACGGTGAGTGTGTGTGAATGGTTCTATTAATTATTATAGACAGTTCTAAATAGTTCTTGGATCATTCTAAATGATTCTAGACAGGTATACATGGTTCTGGACAGTTTTAAATGGTTCTGGAGCGTTGTAAATTGTTTTGGAGTGTTCTAAATGATTCCGATAAGTGCTAATTTTTCTTCGAACAGTTTTAAATGTTTCTGGGCAGTTCTAATTGTTTTTAATCGCGTTATAAATTGTTCTGGAGGGTTCTAAATGGTACCGGATAGTTTAAAGTGTTTCTGAACTTTTCTAAAAACGTTCTGAACTGCTTTGAATCTTCCTGAAGCGTTCTTAATGATTTCGGGCAGTTTTTGATGTTTCTGAACAGTTCTAAACGACGCTGGACGGTTCTAAATCATTCTAGAGCGTTCTAAATGATTCCGAACAGAGCTAATTGATTCTGAACGGTTCTAATTGATTTTAAACAGGTCTGAACTGTTTTAAAACGACTTGAAGCGTAATATATGATACCGGATAGTTCTAAATGATTGTGAAACGTATTAAACGATTCTATACAGTTCTAAATCATTAGGGAGTGTTCCTAAATGATTCCTGGGGCGTTCTAAATATATCTAGACAGTTCTAAACTATTCCTTATCTACCTCATTACCATTTTAAGACGTACTATGTAACTAGTATAGTAGATTTAGTAGTATTATTAGTAGTATATAGAATTTTAGTATTTTTTTTCTTGTAATAACAATCGCCGAAATTATTCCAGGCTGGCCGGCTCCCAAACTCAAAGACGTCGAACTGAGCCAATCCAGAGCGAGAGAACTCTACAGAGACATCATCGTGATAATGTGGAAAATTTACAACAAGTGCAAACTCGTCCACGCCGATCTCTCCGAATTTAATATGCTCTATCAAAACGGACAGGTTTTCGTTATAGACGTGTCGCAATCGGTCGAGCACGATCATCCGCACGCTTTGGAATTTTTGAGGAAAGATTGTACGAATGTAACCGATTTTTTTAGAAAAAAAGAAGTGGCTACATTGACTGTGAAACAGCTCTTTGATTTTATTACCGATCCGAGTATAACCGATGATAATATGGACGATTGTTTGGATGCTTTATCTAATAAGGCGGCCGAACGAGATTGTTTGACTTCCAGTGAACAGGTAAAATATATTATAATTTTATAGAAACCGAAACGTTTTATATTCAATTCCGTTTATTTCAGGTCGAAGAAGAAGTGTTCAAACAAGCCTACATACCGAAACGATTAACCGAAGTGATAGACTTCGAACGGGACATTAACCAAGCGAAGGCCGGAATTTTAGACAATTTGGTCTACAAAACCTTGGTAGGCTTGAAATCCGATTTGAGCGGTACAGTAGACACTCCCGAAATTTTAAATAAAACCGATACGGACGAAGATGAAGCCTCTTCTTCTGATGGAGAATCGGAAGAAGTCGAAGACGAGCGGAGCAAATTCAAAGATTGTTCGAGACCCAAAGAGGAATCGTTGGAGGAGAAAAAGATGAGGAAGAAAGCGGTGAAAGATGCACAAGCGGAGAAGAGGAAAGCGAAAGTTAAAAAGCACGTGAAGAAGAGGAAAGAAAAAATTTCGAAAAAATAAAATTGTAATTATTTTCGTTGTTAAAAAAATGTTGAAATAACTACACCGTGTTCCATGTGGAATTCGGTCATTAAAACTGTTTTCAATCATTTAGAACTGTCTAGAATCATTTGGAAACTATCCAGAAACTTTTGAAACTGTCTAGGATAAACTAGGAAAGTTCAGAACTATTTAGAACTGTCCGGAACTATTGATCCTCGTTGTTTAATAAACCTGGTTCGTAAGAATATATTTTATTTCATTAATTTCTTAGAAATGTTAACAACAAATAACAAAATATAACATAAAGAAATCGAGAAAATTCTCATCATCTACATCTCTTAACTCCCTCTCATCGCATCATTTCTTCTTTTTAGTGAACTTCCTAGCCTCCCTGATCAATCTTCTAGTCTCCTCGCTCTCCTCGGGCTCCGCCTGGGACACCCGCCAATCGCTATCCGAGGAATCCCCATCATCATCGGACGCTTCGTAATCATCACTGCTCCCATCGTTGATGAACGAATCATCGAAATCGTAATCGTCCTCCGGGGAATCCGAGTAATTCTTCTTCTTATTAGCGGCTTTCCTCTTCATCCGGCCTGCGTTGTTATCGCCCGCAGCCACATCTTCATCACTGTTAGAATCGTTAACGGGATTCGCGGGAGGTTGTGGTTTGGGAGCCGGTGGTTTCGAATGCTTGTACTGTTTCCTGTGGTTCAGATTGGTACGGTAACAACTGTCTCCGAATGGACAAGGAGCTACAATACTTTGATCGGATTCTTCGTAATCGCTGTCACAAGGGTGGCTGAAGTCCTTTTTGTGATTGGGGTTTCTTCGATAGCATGTTTCTCCGTACCAGCATCGGACTCTTTTGCTCGTTCGGGGGACGCCGATATCGTCATTTTTTGTATCATCTGAATGGGTTGCTTGATTAAGTGATGTTGTTGCTACGCCAATTTGATCCTCAGAGTTTACATTTGTAGCTTTTGTTGTAGAATTATTATTGCTTGTGCTGGGTTCATCGACGGTTTCGGGGATATTTTCCGGTGTATTTTCTTCCGTGTTTTCAGGATGTGATGCGATATTTGAGTTATTATGCGATTGGTTAATCGTAATATCTAAATTATCCGCAGATTGTGATGTATTGTCGTTTTTATTGGTTTCATTTAAATTATTGGGATCTTCCATTAAATCTGCAAAATCGAAGCTTTCGTCGGAATCTATGTTGTCTTCTCCATCGGTAATTTTACTCTTTTTTGCAAGATCGTTACCATCGGTATCATCTCGGTGAATTCTCTTCAGGGATCTATTTATAAAGAATTAACGAAATAAACAAAGCGTGTATGATTTATACGACTATTACTTACCTATTAGAGCTTAAATCGTCGTTCTCTAATCTAATTTTGAACCAATAATCATCGGGTAAAAGGCCAAACTGATCGCCGTCTTTCAAAAGGACGCTCGATGATTCTTTCTTAATTAATTGAATGCTATTACCTCCGTTCGGTTTGTAAAATATCGGATTTGCGTGTGTAGATTTTAATGATGCCGTATTATCATCGTTTATCGTTATCACAGCGTGATTTCTGGAAACTCTGGCATCTTTACAATTTAATGTGTTCCTACCTATTAGGTGTTCTCCTTTGGCAAACGAAGATATCGGTTGGGACTCGCTAGCGTCATCTAAATTGTATATACTTATCATTTTTTAAACATTAAAGAACGTAATAACTGATAAATATTATTAAAATTACGAATACAAACGCAAAATACAAATATTAATTCTTCAGATTCTTCTGATTTTTTTTAGTTTTCTGTCAAAATGAAGCCTACATATATTCAGCTATACAGCTACTACTGAATGGTGTATTTGAAAGAAAAACCGTAAAATATATATCATATAGAAGAAAATAATAGAGAATCATTGTTCGGAGCACTATTTTTCCGTCGATCCACCAGTAAAAAAGACTTTTTTGTTGTAAATGGCAATATGAAGTTGCTACGTATAATAGTGACATTTGACAGTTCGGGATTCTAATAGCGTTTTCCATTGGTAAAATAGTGTGCACTTTGACAAATTAGCTGTTATTATAGTTTGTAAGAAAAAGTAAAACAATAAATCGATAGTATTATTACATATTAGAGCGAATATACCTCATATATTAGTAAAATTAAACTGTTTCAGTCTTTAAACTAGTGCTAACTGTATGATCTAAAATGTCGAGGCCAGTAAAAAAGAAGACCAAAGAAAGTGACGTTTATCCAAAAACAACGTCAATCCAAGTGTCAACAAAAACTATTTATTTTTTATTCTCAATGTTATCAATAACACACAATGTTTCTGCGGTTAATTTTATCGTTAGAAAATGATTCAGCGATAACGCTACCGAATATAATGAATGAAACTCGCGAAGGAATGTTAGTTATCGTTTAAACCGAAACAATGTCACCGCAGTATCCAACGCGAGTGGTTTTATTGGCTTGCGGTTCCTACAACCCAGTCACCAACATGCATTTACGAATGTTCGGTAATACACTAATTATAATAAATGAATTAAGTTTTACGGAATCGTTTTGTCGTAGAAATAGCCAAAGATTATCTACACAATATAGGGAATTGCGTGGTGATCGGAGGGGTCATTTCACCAGTACACGATGCCTACGGGAAGAAGGATTTAGTTTCGTCTACTCATAGATTGGAAATGCTCAGATCGGCTTTGCAGAATCACGAATGGATCAGATTGTCCGATTGGGAATGCAGACAGGAAAATTGGTCTCTTACGAAGCAAGTTATTCGGTACCATCAAGTAAGAATTATAATCTTTACGGTTATTATTCGATGTTAAATAACGAGTAAATTAGAACGGAAGCAGCGAGAAAACAGGCAAATAGTACCAATTACATAATACATTATTTTAACCGCGATAAATTCTATTTACTTAATACATTTTATAACGGTTAATTTTCAGAACCATTTGAACGCTGCGATTAATCGAAATTCGGAAAACGATCAGCTGGATATCAACGAGAACGAATTAAAATGGATACCTGAAAATGTAAAATTAGATAATAGACCGATTAAAGTGAAATTATTATGCGGGGCCGATCTGTTGGAATCCTTCGGGACTCCCGGACTGTGGGCCGATGAAGACGTAAGTGGAATTAATTAAATTAAATTAAATTAATCGTATAATGTTTTATGAAATTTATTTTAGCTGGAAGAGATAGTGGGACAACAAGGTTTAATCGTAATAACCAGGATGAACACAAATCCGTCGGAGTTTATATACAATTCGGATTTGCTCTCGAAATATATGGTAAATTTCTTAAATGAATCGTTAAATTATTATCGTGGAGAGTTCCGAATCGTCCGGAAATCGTTCTAAAGCCTTTCTCTGAACCGAACCTAAACATTCTAACATTCTGAAGCGTTCTAAATGTAGATAGAGAGTTAAAAAAAACAGAGATTACGTTTTAGATAAAAGATACTTTAGCGTTTTATAAAGGATCCTTTACAGTTCTCGTCCTTTAAACTAAATTTAAAACGTGTTTCCTCTTTTGCAGGCTAATATAACATTAGTAACAGAATGGATAACGAACGAAATAAGCTCGACGAAAATCAGAAGAGCCCTGAGAAGAAACGAATCCGTTCGATATCTCGTTCCCGACAGAGTGCTGGAATATATTTACAGGAATAATCTCTACGGATCGCAAAGGACTTCGTAAGTGTTAATCAACCAAAAACGAACCTTTTTTTTCTTCTCACGAAAAAAAAAAACCTCATAACAATCTCTTCTTATTTTACCCGCTTTCTCTCGGATAACGCCCAGTAAGTACCTACAGTTACCATTTAGGGAGGCTTTTCCGACGCCATCGCCCGACGCCGGCGTCGCGACGCCCTCCGTTCTCGTGAATTGCTTGAACGCCTGCAACAACAACAACAACAACAACAACGTGTTGCACAAACGTGCAACTCTATCGATCGATACGGTAGATGGTTTCACCGGGCCCGGACACGCCGTTAAAATAACCGGAGAGACGGTTAAAATAACCGGGGACGGCGCGAAGGAGGTTAGTAGGGGCGGTGCACCGACGGAGGAGGAGGTTGAGGGGGGCTCGAGGGGGCGCGAAAATCTCGTTAAATTTATATTCACCAAGCACGGGATACAGGTCATTAGCGATGTGGAGACGATCGTCTGAGATTGGCTGTAAATCGGTTGATAAATCGATTTAAAATCAATGATTTAACGGGCTGGTTTTCATAAAGAGTCGTTCGATTCGAATTTGGCGGTTCCGGAACGATCCGGAATCGTTTTGGAACTATTTGAAACGGTTCTGGATGCATTAAAAGCTTCCGGAATGATTCAGAATCGTTTTGGAACTCTGTCTTTTTCATTCTGGATGCATTAAAGGGTTGTTTAAAGTCTCGTTATGAAATCGGCCCGACGAACGAGTATATTTTTGGATAGACGTTTGGTGTTTGATAGAGAGCTTTTTATCTACAATGTACTCTATCTACAATGTACTCTGTAGCTGTAGCGAATGTTTAGTGGATTTATTTTGTGCATGGTAGTAGCCGAATGATATACAGGGTAGATGCAAAATTGTTTGCAATATGGGTGTCATATAAAGGAAAAAGAAAGATATCGTGGGTGGATTTCGACTTTTTCTCATTCTAACCACTGTTATTTTAATATTCTTTCTTTTACTCAAATCGTAGAATTGATCATATTGCAAACACATTTGCTCTTAATCTATTGAATTGCTTGGCTCGTACAACGTGAAAAATTCTATTTTCAATCTAAAAGATGTAAATACTTATGGTTAAATGTGCCTCGTCAGTATTATATCGGAATATTTCCGGATTCGAAACTTTCCTTTCTGATAATTCTTTGCCTAAATGTTTAAATTTAAATGTTTACATGCATGCGATGATTTTATAACAATAAATTGGTAAATTCGGTGCTTTTTGGCAACACTGTACTTTCCATAAAAGTGGTAAAATGGCACCGTTTAATTACCAATATTAATTAACCGTGTTTGATAAATAATATAATAGTGTAGCATGTTTGTTTTCTGTTTCAGGCATCTTTAAATCGACCTGCATGTCTCTAAATAGATCTCCATTTGAATGGCTATGCTTTTCAACATGTCATTAAAATCGTAATAATAATAAATCTCCTTTTTTTTTATTCAACTATAATTAGTACTTATTTTAGCATTACATGTGTTAGTTCCTAATTAGTTACGGTTGATTGTTATTTGTATATGATGTAGGTGTATTAGAAGAAGGGATGATTTATAAGGTTGTCGTTAATTTATTTAGAGTACGTCTATTTACATTGTTATATTTTTTTCTTTGAAAATAAAAACTTATATTTTGTTCAAAATCAATGTTCGAGTTTTATTTCGATATATATATTTACCTCATCCAATGTAACTTGGCATTTGCAAATCGCATTTTCATTTCTCAACACTTAAATATTCAAATATTCCAACTGCCAAGCTACATCCGATGAAGTACAAGTTCTCGTTATTAATACTAATAACCTTTTGATGTTGTTTTGTATACCATCACGTTTTGCTAGGAATAACTAGGATCGTTTTTTTTGGTGCAATTGCACCAAGGCGTCGCCGTTTCGTTGCACTTCAATTTTATATTAATAACGAGCAATGGGGCCCCATCGATTTCCAATTTCCTGCGATCGATCACCGTGTATTCGACATCTCTAAGGCCCGTTTGCCTGTCTCTGCGTCTGGTCACTTCGCGTTGATTGAAACATTTCACCGTGTCCCGTTTTCTCTCTTTGCCGTGTATGTGTCTGAAATATATATACAGGGCGTCTTCGTAAATAAACATTGTACGATGCTTCGTTACGCAACATTAACTGTTTTAATAAACAAAATAACCGTACTTGAAGGTATCATTAATCCCCGTAGAAATATTCGCAGGTCTCGTAACATTCAATCGGGCGTCTTTCAATCGTACGTAGAATTCGTCGTCTTCGAGGCCCCAACCCCAATACCTATTCGACAGGCCGTTAACCAACTCGAAATGTTTGCTAAAAAAACGAACAAAAATTAAACGGTTGTTTATCGATCGATTCCAACCGAATCTCTAACTTATTAATCAACAAAATCCCGCCGATAAACTTCTCGTAATGGTACCGAGGATGTAGTGAGGGCGCCGCTATATGTACAGGTTGTACCGGGTACTCGTAAGACAAGTTCGGATTCAACGGTAACAAATCTACGTCGTGCATCGCGATGTAATCGTAGTTCGATTTGATCTCCGTGAAACCGGCGTTAAGCAGGGAAGCCCTGTTGAATCTGTACCGGTCTATTTGGTTCAAAACGATGATATCGAACGATAGCATTTGGCGATTCAAGAACCGGTGCATGTACGGTACGAATTCCAGTAGTTCTTCGAAGCGTTCCCTGTACGGTACGAGTACGGCCAATTTGCGTTTGGTGCTCAACAATTTCTTCGAAATTAACGGTATTTTTTCGTTGGAACATTTACTTTGATCTAGAACGTATTAAAATGTTATTTATTGTATAGAGAAATTCATTTGATTACCATTAGTTAATATGTAGTAACTTAAAATGGACGAATAAATAAACATAATACACAGTAAAATGGTCAAATAATACGGATACGACAACCGTAAACTTTTAATTCGGCTTATTGGCATTTTCTTTAAATATCTTTAAGTAATTCATTGTAAAATTTCATAAAAAATCCATTTTTAGATTCGTAAATTATTTATCATAACCTAAAAATGTCAAATTTTTAGCTGCCTCTTACTATGCGGTAACTCTGTCACTGTGCAAAACTAACGATTTAAGTTGGTATTACTACGACAGGTTGGGCAATATAAAATCAATAGAGTATGAAAGATATATATTAAGAAGATACCATTTTATATTCGTAAAATACAATAGAAACAGAGTATAGCGAACACATCTTTGATAGAAATACGTAAAAAGTAATCAAATTCTTTATCGTTTCATTCCCATTGGTCCGAAACGAATCGAATTTTCCCGATCGCGCAATCGCGTGACGTTCGTTCGTTTCCGTCAACGATCGGTTCGTAAATTAGTTCGCGGGCTAAACACGACGATAAAAAGCGAGTTGATCGCGATCTGTTCAACTGAAAACATGTTATTTGGTTTTTCGACGGTTCCATCTATAGTTAAATGTCAAGTGCCGAGAATAAGTGGTCGAAACGCTTTAATAAACAGTCAACCGTCTTGATCAAGTGCTAAATTAGCCGTTTTATTTAGTAAATTTAAGTATAGGATCGTTTAGTTTTTCGCGACCATGCCGAAAGGAAAACGAAAGGGAAGGTCCGGTAAGAAATTCGACTTTACGTACGGTTGTTATAAGGTTCAAAATATTCCGAATGATTTACGTCAAAATATAAAATGTATACCTTATCTATTTCGACTTGAATTATATTTCGTGACATATGGATTCTAATTTCATTTCGTTCTTTAAATACGCTTTATTTCTATTGCAACATAAAGCGTTATTTTCAATACTTATTTAATATTGTGCAATGTGACAACATATTAGAATAATCATTGATTTTTTTTTAACCTATTTTCGCTTTTTAAAATGTCCATTATATCGAATATTTTTGTTCCTGCACGTGTCTAGGCTTGACATTGTAAATTACAATGCATCACGCTGATATAATTAGTCGGATCAGCCATAAAAAAAAGTCTCAAGGTCGCCTTTCTTGAATCTAATTATTTCCATTTGAAAAATTGATAAATATCCAATATTAGTATCGATTCTGAGAATCAGAAAATCAGAAAATCAGTCTGCGTGTTGTTTTCTCAACATATTTTCGAGATTTGCACATTTTTAAACGCGTTTAAAATAGGTTTTTCCATTCGAATATATTGCATAATATTTGTTAACGTTTTAAAAATAGGTGTACGAATGGAACGCGTAATGCACAAATAAATCGAATAATTTGTTGCTGTTCCAATAGAAATTCCAACCCGTAAATCTTAGTGAATCTTATTCTCCCATATTCAGCGCCCCCCACGTCTATAACTTGACATATTTACATTGGTTGTTATGGAGTAACTAGGGACTTTGTTTACCTTATAGCGACTTTCTAAAGGAAGTTCTGTTTAAGTTTAAAATGGGGGCGCTGAATTTAACTCTAAACGATTAATGTATTTATTTTATTCGAAAAAAACCAGATCGCGGAAGAACAGACGGCTCGTTGAATTCCACCGACGACGAATCGTTCGAAATAGCCAGCGTCGCCAGTAATTTCTCTGAGAACAACAACAACAACAACAACAAAGAATGCGACGAGACAACGTCCGAAGACGCCGACGTCGCGGCGCAGGAACAACTCGAAGAGAAATTGTGCGAATTGCTCGACGGATTGACGCAGAAATCGTCGCAGGGCAGGACGAATTGCTTCGGGACATTGACGAAGGCATTCGTCAAGAAATACATGCCGGGATTCATCAAAGATAGGTATAATTCTAATGAATCTCGATTCCGGACGGTTCTAAACGATTCATTTTTTGTTGTTGTAGGTATTTTACGATTTGCGATTCGATCGAACGAAGTTTGAAGAAAGGCGGCCCAGCCGAGAAAATCGCCGCAACAGAATTGGCTACAATTACTTGCGTACAACTCGGTGGTGAAGATCTTTCCGAGGAAATTTGCAGGCAATTAAAACCCCTACTATTGACGTTGGTCTGCGATAACTCCATACCACCTCCTGTTAGAGCTAAAGTAAGCGCTGGATCGGATTTAAACATTTGAACGTGGCTTTAATTTAAACAGAGTTCCTAGTTACTCCATAACAACCGATGTAAAACTGTTCAAGTTAGAGACGCCATTTTGTTATTATTAATTCGATCGAATTTATTTGAAAGAATGCCACTAATTCAATAAAAAAAAATCGTGTTCTCGATATGATACTTGGACTACTATTTATTGTATATAAAAAAAAATACCGATTTTATACGTGATTTTTGTATATTAAATTTTTCTTTTTTTTCTCTCTTCCAGTGTTGCACCGCATTGGGTAACATGACGTTTCTATCGGGAGGCGAAATGGGCGATGTGGTGTTGTTGATGCAACAATTCGAATCGATCTATTCGGGTAGTTATTTGAAAGGGGACGGTACAGTTGCTAATGTATCGACGGAGGCGGGCGCTTTGCATGCCGCCTCTTTACAATCGTGGAATTTGCTTTTTACTTTACTATCGCCCGGCAACATCGGAACGATGATTAACAATTCCAAATCATTACCGTAAGTGTATACTAGAAGATTATATATGTATTTATTTTTTTTTTGGGACAGTTTAGAGTGCTTCGGAATGCACTCTAGAACTATACAGGTTGCCATATAGGCTATAAGTGCGATAGAGACAACTTCCATTAGACATTTATAAAAGGAAAAAGTGACTGATTTGTGTCATTGCAACTTTTCACTCTGACAACTGTTTAATTTTATTTAATCTTTCTTTGTTCAACTCATGTTGCGGTCTGAATTGAAGCAATCTGTATATTTTAAAGTGCTTTAGATATGCATTAGAATTGTTTAGAACAATTATTTATGCATTAAAAGTACTTTACTGTTTGCCCGAACGATAAATTTGTTGTAACAAAACGATTTTATTCTATTATTTTAGACCGTTGGAGAAATTGTCAGAGTTGTTGGAATCTCCCCATTTAGACGTCAGAATGGCCGCCGGCGAATCATTGGCGTTAATTTACGAATTGGGTAGAGAAGAAAATGCGAATTTCGAGGATGAATTCGCCGTCGAAATAGCGGAAACTTTAAAGCAATTGGCAACCGATTCGCATAAATATCGAGCGAAGAAAGATAGAAAACAACAAAGGGCCACGTTCAGGGATATCTTGCAATTTTTCGAGGTAATTTTTTTTCTCGCCCGATTAATTTCGCTTCATTAATCACCCCCCTTTTTTTAATTTTATAATAGGACGACGTCGTACCGGAATTATCGATTAAATTCGCCAAGGAAACATTAGTACTCGATACGTGGTGTCGAAGGAAACAATACGAAACGCTTTGCGCCATTTTGGGGCCCAGTATAAATATTCATTTGAGCGATAATGATTTGGTGAGGGACATTTTTGAGATTTTATTACCGGCTCCGTCGAACGAATTGCCGGTTCATGCGCAACACCAAATGGAACGATATAGAAAAGTAAGAGTGTTTGTTTGCTTGTAACGTAAAAGGCCATTTTTTTTTAATATTTATTTATTTATTTCAGCGTTTAATAAATGCGGCTAATTTCAAAGCGAGGACACTGACGAGGGCCAGGAATAGAGACAAACGATCGGATTTCTGAAATTTCTGAGGGTTTTTTTTTTGATGAGGTTACCGAGATTTGAAAAAAAATGTAGCACAATTTTTGTTGTTTTATCGTAAATGGGTCGATTTCTATAATACATATATATTATTTCTTATTCGCTATTTATTAATTTTTTTATTTAATAAAGTTGTGTCATTTGTAAATTGATTTTTGTAAGTAGTTTTTGAATTTGTAATTTTTATTTAAATAAAATGATGGGTTCGTATATCTTTGTTATTTCTCAACTGATTTTTATCATGCCGCGTATTATATTTTTTTTAAATAAAATTTTAGTTTTATTTTTCCAATAGTTTTATTTTTTCAAACCCTCCCAAATAGTTCCGAACATATCGGAACAGTTCTAAACTGTCGCAAATACTTCCAAAAACTACAAATAAAAGGGGCAAAAACTTCCAATCTCTACCTTAAAAATGCCAAAACATTTGGCCAGAATCTAGTAATATATCAACAGAATCTAGTAATATATCACCAGAATCTAGTGATAAATCACCAGAATCTATTGATAAATCACCAGAATCTAGTAATAAATCACCAGGATCTAGTGATAAATCACCAGAATTTAGTAAAAAATCACCAGAATCTAGTGATAAATCACCAGAATCTAGTAATAAATCACCAGAATCTAGTGATAAATCACCAGAATTTAGTAAAAAATCACCAGAATCTAGTGATAAATCACCAGAATTTAGTAAAAAATCACCAGAATCTAGTGATAAATCACCAGAATCTAGTAATAAATCACCAGAATCTAGTGATAAATCACCAGAATCTAGTAATAAATCACCAGAATCTAGTGATAAATCACCAGAATTTAGTAAAAAATCACCAGAATCTAGTGATAAATCACCAGAATCTAGTAATTTATCACCAGAATCTAGTGATAAATCACCAGAATTTAGTAAAAAATCACCATAATCTAGTGATAAATCACCAGAACCTAGTAATAAATCACCAGAATCTAGTGATAAATCACCAGAATTTAGTAATATATCACCAGAATCTAGTGATAAATCACCAGATTCCAGTAATAAACCACCAGAATCTAGTGATATATCACCAGAATCTAGTGATATATCATCAGAATCTAGTGATATATCACCAGAATTTAGTAAAAAAATCACCAGAATCTAGTGATAAATCACCAGAATTTAGTAAAAAATCACCAGAATCTAGTGATAAATCACCAGAATCTAGTAATTTATCACCAGAATCTAGTGATAAATCACCAGAATTTAGTAAAAAATCACCAGAATCTAGTGATAAATCACCAGAATCTAGTAATAAATCACCAGAATCTAGTAAAAAATCACCAGAATCTAGTGATAAATCACCAGAATTTAGTAATATATCACCAGAATCTAGTGATAAATCACCAGAATCTAGTAATAAATCACCAGAATCTAGTGATAAATCACCAGAATCTAGTAATAAATCACCAGAATCTAGTGATAAATCACCAGAATTTAGTAAAAAATCACCAGAATCTAGTGATAAATCACCAGAATCTAGTAATTTATCACCAGAATCTAGTGATAAATCACCAGAATTTAGTAAAAAATCACCATAATCTAGTGATAAATCACCAGAACCTAGTAATAAATCACCAGAATCTAGTGATAAATCACCAGAATTTAGTAATATATCACCAGAATCTAGTGATAAATCACCAGATTCCAGTAATAAACCACCAGAATCTAGTGATATATCACCAGAATCTAGTGATATATCACCAGAATCTAGTGATATATCACCAGAATTTAGTAAAAAATCACCAGAATCTAGTGATAAATCACGAGAATCTAGTAATAAATCACCAGAATCTAGTGATAAATCACCAGAATTTAGTAAAAAATCACCAGAATCTAGTGATAAATCACCAGAATTTAGTAAAAAATCACCAGAATCTAGTGATAAATCACCAGAATCTAGTGATATATCACCAGAATCTAGTGATATATCACCAGAATTTAGTAAAAAATCACCAGAATCTAGTGATAAATCACCAGAATCTAGTAATAAATCACCAGAATCTAGTGATAAATCACCAGAATTTAGTAAAAAATCACCAGAATCTAGTGATAAATCACCAGAATTTAGTAAAAAATCACCAGAATCTAGTGATAAATCACCAGAATTTAGTAAAAAATCACCAGAATCTAGTGATAAATCACCAGAATTTAGTAAAAAATCACCAGAATCTAGTGATAAATCACCAGAATCTAGTAATAAATCACCAGAATCTAGTGATAAATCACCAGAATTTAGTAAAAAATCACCAGAATCTAGTGATAAATCACCAGAATTTAGTAAAAAATCACCAGAATCTAGTGATAAATCACCAGAATCTAGTAATTTATCACCAGAATCTAGTGATAAATCACCAGAATTTAGTAAAAAATCACCAGAATCTAGTGATATCTCACCAGAATCTAGTGATATATCACCAGAATTTAGTGATATATCACCAGAATCTAGTGATCACCAGAATCTAGTGATATATCACCAGAATCTAGTAATAAATCACCAGAATCTAGTGATAAATCACCAGAATTTAGTAATATATCACCAGAATCTAGTGATATATCACCAGAATCTAGTAATAAATCACCAGAATCTAGTGATAAATCACCAGAATCTAGTGATCACCAGAATCTAGTGTTATATCACCAGAATCTAGTGTTATATCACCAGAATCTAGTGATATATCACCAGAATCTAGTAATAAATCACCAGAATCTAGTGATAAATCACCAGAATCTAGTAATAAATCACCAGAATCTAGTGATATCTCACCAGAATCTAGTGATATCTCACCAGAATCTAGTGATATATCACCAGAATTTAGTGATATATCACCAGAATTTAGTGATATATCACCAGAATCTAGTGATCACCAGAATCTAGTGTTATATCACCAGAATCTAGTGATATATCACCAGAATATCACCAGAATCTAGTGATATATCACCAGAATCTAGTGATCACCAGAATCTAGTAATATCACCAGAATCTAGTAATATATCATTAGAATATAGTAATATATCACCAGAATCTAGTAATATATCACCTGAATCTAGTGATATATCACCAGAATTTAGTAGTATATCACCAGAATCTAGTGATATATCACCAGAATTTAGTGATCACCAGAATCTAGTGATATATCACCAGAATCTAGTGATCACCAGAATCTAGTGATCACCAGAATCTAGTGATCACCAGAATCTAGTAATATCACCAGAATCTAGTAATATCACCAGAATCTAGTAATATATCATTAGAATATAGTAATATATCACCAGAATCTAGTAATATATCACCAGAATCTAATAATATATCACCAGAATCTAGTAACATGACACCAGAATTTAGTAATATATCACCAGAATTTATTAATAGTAGTAGTAGTTTAGTAATAGAGCGATGTGACGTCACACGCGCTGGCACGGCGGCCGGCCGGGAATCCTTTTTTTTGCTATAACTTTTGAACGGGTTAAGATATCGTTATCGGGTTTGTTTTGTTAGTTAAATGAAACTTGAATTAATAATTTTGAAAGAATAAATTTTTTTCGAAAACCCTATAGTTTCCGAGTAAACGGAGTGTATTTATTGAAAATTTTAATTCCGGTAAAATTTCATTTCCCTATAACTTGGTGAAATGACTTTTTGAAGAAATGCGATTTGCGTGCAAAAATGGCAAAAAAATTAAAGAATTTGTGGTAAAAGTTTGAAAAAAATCGTTGGCGTAGTTTCGGAGATATCGACCGAAAATTCCAAAAAAGGCGTAATTTTCACAAAAATCCGGCTCGATATTTCGATAGATCTCGTCGAGTTACGTAGGATAGAATTTTTTTCCGATTTTTTCGTACGCTAATAAAGCCGTAAAAAAAACACACCAATGAGTCAGTGAATGTCGGTTTGAGTTGAATGCACTTGAGTTGGATGCATCTTTGGAAATCCCTTCGAACGCCTAATGACTCATTGAATGTCGAAGATTGTAAACAACGATTTGCCGGTAAAGCCCATTAGGGATGGGAAAAACCCATTATGAGTGGATGCATCTACCTGGATTCCCTGGGAATGAACGACAAACAGTCATTAAATAGTCATTAGGCATCCAATCAATCACCAAATCGTAAACAATCTATTGTTGCAACAATATAAAAACCGACGCTCGAGCCACTGGGAATTTATTCTTCTCTGAGCCTCCGACTCGACCACATCTAATTTACTTGTTGTTATTTATTTATTTATTTTTTTTTTCAGTGTTCCATCGACGATACCATCGGCAGTGTTCCGCCCACCGAGGAGTCAACCCCAAGGAAACATGACGCCCAACATATCTTTGAAGACATCAAGGAGAGACCGAAGTCCTCACTCACAACTCTTCCTGAGGGTACAAACTCCACGACATCAAATCGGACGAGCCCAAAACCGATGAATTCGACGGCAACTTCAACCCATCCTGGAAACCATCGCCCGCTCCATATAGACGATGTCATTGATTTTACTACGATCGAAAAATGCCATCCCTTCGAAGAATAATCCAACACTTCGTCCGCCGACATTTTCGGGAACGGATACCTAATTTTATACCTAAGAATACTGAATTCTTAGGTATCTTTTTAGGTATTGTATACACCAATATGTTTACCGGTAGGGTAGGGTGTTCTCCCGAGTGACGTCGAGCGTCGGCATACGGTTTTCTACGGCATATGGCAAAACTAAAGATGCATTTTGGGGGACCCGTTGAATATCGAAGATTGTAAACAACGATTTTCCCCCGGTAAAGCCCATTAGGGATGGGAAAAACCCACTATGAGTGGATGCATCTACCTGGATTTCCTGGAAACGAACGACAAACAGTCATTAAATAGTCATTAGGCATCCAATCAATCACCAAATCGTAAACAATCTATTGTTTGCAACAACATAAAAACCGACGCTCGAGCCACTGGGAATTCATTTATCTCTGAGCCTCCGACTCGACCACATCTAACTTACTCGTTGTTATTTTTTTATTTATTTTTTTTTCAGTGTTCCATCGACGATACCATCGGCAGTGTTCCGCCCACCGAGGAGTCAACCCCAAGGAAACATGGCACCCAACTTGTCTTGGAAGACATCAAGGAGAGACCGAAGTCCTCAC